TTTTTTTTTTTTTTTTTTTTTTTTTTTTTTTCGTAGCCGCGATTTAAAACTTTCCATCAATTGATATCGTTTTATTCACGATGGAAAATCTGCTGGTACGATGGATACATATACTTTGGTAAAGGGAAAGTTAATATTCCAATGAATTCCACGGATGGATTAACTGTGATTTTTAACAATATATATATATACATTATTTCGCGTAATATCGTCAGTCAATATTTCTGAAGAATTTCGAAAGATCGTTTACGCGAAATTTTTACGATCGTTATAATGATGTATTTACGTAAAAAATTGTATGGTTGCGTAATTTGTGAAAAGAAAAAAAAAAATAATTTGCCCAGAAATTTCCTTGATTCCGAGAAGAAAAACAAAGTCATATAACTCAAGATCGAATCATAGGTCGAATTCTTCTGGCGGAGGCTTTATTACGGAAATCATTTGCAATTGTACGGATCGTATAATGGAAGCCGTAACTCACAGTACTTAGGAGTTGTTTTCGAAATAACACGAGAATGTCGAAGTGTTTGGGTGAAAACGATCAGAGACTGCTCCGATGGTCACGTACGTAAAAACAGAAACAACTTCGCTGGAGATCGTGGTAACAAGGAGCTAGAAACAAATCGCGATACTCCGGAGTGGAAGGATAGCAAAAACATTTCGAGGTAATAAGGTAATAAGCCATAATAGAAACGTGACCGATAGCCAATAACGTTCTCCCTGGACTCATTGACGAAAGTCTTTTTTGTCTGTAATATTTTTTTTTTCACCAACCAAGATTCTCGATTTTGTTTTTTCTACGACCGTCGAAGACTCGATGTCATCTGCTTTTTTTTACCCAGCATCCATTTACATCAGGTGCTGCAAATCGATAGAGACGTGGCTGATCTACCGATTTTAATGAACATAGACCAAGATCAATTCGAATCCAAGCAAGATCCGTCTGATTGATCGAAACGAGATAATTTCGTTACTATACTTAGAACGACACTACACGCCATTTACGTTAAGTGGAACAAATTGAGTATCGATCTGTCCCACGTGAATATTCAAGTCGCTTTTGCTTTTACGTTATATCCTGTTCTGTCGCCAGTCTCCCGATCAATCATTCCTCATAGATAACAGTCTGACGATATCGATAGTCATAGTCAAAAGGAATGGTGCTGGTGGTTCTACCACGTGGAGCGAAGTTTGCAAGCATTCGGCTACGGGTGGCTATACGCGTAGTATACTTGGACACCCGGTATATGCAATCCCCGCGATACGAAGACTGTGCCGATGGCCTTGTCTGTTTTGATTGAGAACGAATAGCGGAAGGAGCGACTCGTAATTTTCTCCCTGAAGATTCCTCTGTCTGATGCTTCCTCTTGTCCATAGCACGCCCATGATGGATCTTCTCGTGCAGATCGCAACCGCTCACAAATTGGCCGCTTCGAGCTACACACTTCAGGCCATTGGAGAACGTGGTCTTGTTTTGCCCCATCAGCCTAATACGCCAATCGGAGCGCTGGATGCTCTTCAGGTACGTGGAATAGTATGGCCTTGACTGCGTGTCCTTGGTTGGATGATTTTATTGTAGGAATTTAAAAAAATTTTATTCATTCTCTTACAGGTGAAGCTACTTCCCAAGCAGGGAACATTCGTACCGAGAAAAACGAGGCAGGCTAATCAACCTTTTGAAACGACTTTTAGATTACAGGTAATTTTGTAAAATGAAAAATTCATCGATGGACGATATGTTAAATTACCTGTGGACTTATTCGATTTATTGTATTGCAGGTACATCTGCCCAGGAATCAGCTGTACGTGTCACGGGTCAGCCCGAAAATGAACCTGGGTGAAATTCTCGAGGAAGTATGTCGCGAGAAGAATCTGGACAGGAACAAGTACGAGCTCCGTCATCCTGGTGAGTCGCTTGGAACGATTAGAGTTTCACGAGTACGGGGCGGCTACTACCAGTTAACGAGTCCAGCATGCGTGGGCCGTGTCTACGTACTGCGTCCACGCTTGGTGCACGCATTTCTTCGGACGGCTTCTCAAGGACGCGAATAAGAGGCCACTGCGATACGGCCAGAGACTCTACGAGTCCTCGTGATAATTGCGGTAATTCACATAAGAACTCCATGCGGCCTTTCGTGACAAGGAAGAAAAAAGAAGATACTGCATCCTGATTTGAGTCAACTGTACGATCTTCGATTCAGGCTCTCTCCCACCTCCTCGCTCAATCTCCGTTTAATTATACGTCGAGTATCGAAACGCTTGTAACCAAAGAGAAAAAGGATCTTCGAGACGGAAACAGCAGGCGGGAACGTATTTCGTCAGGGCACTTTGGCATCTAATCCAGTTTCCGTATGCGGCAAGTAACGATCGGCTGATCACGAACCACTGGATTTGTATCGTTGGTCGTATCCATATCCAAGGCGATTCTCGAAGTCTCATGGTAATCCGAAGGCGACGAGAACGCATTACACAGGCACGTGGACACGCAGCTGTGCACGCACTCAGGCAGTACCTAGAGCCGTTGTTAACTACATGGCGAGAAGCAAATTCCTCCTGTAATTAGGTACTTTGAGCGACCTCAACTACCAGAGACGTAGAAACGAAAGTGTATAAAATACTGTATATGGAAAAATATCTCCACGACTTTACCTCCGTTAAAATACCAACGCAAAGATTAACCAATCCGTCTGGTCAGATGGAAGCCCGTCAGGACGTGGAGTACCGTAGGATATCTAACGTAATTAACGTACATTCCACATAAGTAAAGGACCACAGACTGCTGCTCTATTCTGGATCCAAAGCCCTGGATGCTTCACGATTACGTTCATACCTTCCACTTGAAGTTTCATTGCGCTCGACCACGCGGAACTTGGATCATCCGTCCTCCGGGGTACCGGGTGGCGCGTTTCTCCTTGGTACGGTAAAGCGGCGTTCACATTGTCGGCTCTGGACATTCGACAACGAGCTCACGTTCCAATTTCTATAACGAACTCGTTTTCCCAAAGAGAATTCACAGTGGTCTTCGCTCTCGCGAATCCCTCGCATTCCTTACCCGAGCATACCTTGAATACTGTTTTTATATTTTTTCACTTCTTCTCAAAGTAGACTCTACGCTTGTTTGCGAAACCTTGTATATCGAGGATGAAATAGGGAACGTGGAATTGCGTGAATATTTTTTCTTACTCTCTCTCTCTCTCTCTACCGTTTTCTCTCTCGCTCTCTCTCTCTGTCTCTATCTACCGTTTTCTCTCTCGCTCTTTCATTATCAACTACTCGCGCTCAATCTTCCTCTCGATTGCGGTGAGAAGCGTTACGAGAATTCTCGCGATTCTTAATACGTGACTCTCGGCGTATGAGACTCGTGGGGAATGGACTCTTGCTAGATTGGCTACTCCGGCACTCTCACGCTTTTTAGCATTTGGTAACACCAAAGTGTATAATGATCGATGGTAAGAAATAGAGGGAGGGGGGGGGAGGGGATGGACGTAACAAAAACGAAAAACCATATACAGATTTGTGAATATGCCTTTAAGGTACGTTCTGCTAACTTCTCATAACTGTACTCGTAACGTTGCCCACTGTAAGCCACGAGTTCACTAACAATACAAACAACAAGTAAAAGACAGTCAAAGTCCATTCCGCAGTCACGAATTGTACACAGTGAACATTCAGTATGATATTTTAACCCAACTTGATATGGCGCGATGTGGCTATGAGTTGTAACTTAAATTTCTTTTTAACGGCTATACACCCTCTTAAGTGTAAATAATTACTTCAGAAAAGGCTCGATCACAGGAGAAGCAAGCAATAAAAATTTGTAACGTAGTAAACAACGACGTACTATCGCGTTTACGTTCATATGGTATCGATCAACGATCAATTAATGTCACTCTTTCTCTATACTGTTAATCGTGTATTAATATCGATAAGAGATAATTAAACGCGCAGTAGACGCCGGCGAATCGTGCTACGCCTTTAATTACAAATGCTATATATCTAATAGAGCCTCTTTCTTCTTTCTATCTCACGTTAAGATCCGCTGGACGTTTCTTATTGCTCGGGTACCTTTATCGCAAGTCTCGAGTCACGATCATGTTTTGTCTTTAGATATAACGCTAAGTCCACTCGATCTTCCGTGTCGTGTACTATACATATGTATAATCTCCCTGGGATGCACGAGCTCCAGTATCGCATTGTCTTCGTTAATAAAGAAGAAGGAAAAAGTACCAGGATAGAAGCGATCGAGGAGTCTAGATTTAATCTAAGACGAAGGAAACAAAAATTTTTTCATTCTTATATACCCCTTGGAAAACTATTTTCCAATCGTTTCATAGAACGAACCGCGAACTCAATGATCGATGTATTTTCGCACGTGTATAATTTGCATATAATTTATAATTTTTTTATTTCTCATCGTCAGCGTCACCGATAAGTCACGTTAGGTACAAAATAAATACATTGGCGTAGGTCGTCGACTTTCATGAAATTCAAACATTCGACGTTGGTCGTCACGGTTTTCGAGAGCAATGCAGTATAGACTGGATATCCATATATTGTATCTATGTAGATAAGTATGTCGTATATCTATGTATAAAAGCGCCGACGTTGACATTATACACTGATACCATCTACACGCTGTGGAACCCCACGTATTATCGGCCACCCTATAGCACGTAATGCTCTCGCCATAGGGACCACATACGATATTCCCTCGCAAGCTCGCTCTGTACTAAGGCTTCCGAAGCCAGCCTACGCTTTACATATATAACCGTACAGGTGAATCCAATTTTCGCAAAATTCCGCGTAGAAGCACAGCAAAGACGTGCTATCGGCTGTTATCGAATCGTCGACAACAATGAGTCCTTGATAGATAGGATTTCTCATGTAATCGGTAGCAGGCCTTGAGTTTTGTTATAGTCGTATGCGAGACGAACTATTGTTATTGTATTTGCTCGTTAATTGCGTCCACTTGAAAATCAAGATTGCAGAGCGCCTGGCTTACGGCTTATACCAGCGGGTTTAAATAGCGCGTGGAAGCTACATTGGTGATTTTTATACTTTTTCATATGTCCATGGACATGCGTATATTGTCTGTATACACGTGTTACCTGCCTGAGGTAACTATTTAAGTCGGTTCGTTATACAGGGTAGTTGTTAAGATCACTATCGTCGGCTGCCTGGCTCTTCCAGTTGTTGTTCTAGTCATTAACTCGTCGCGCCATTCGAGTCGAACTCGAAGCTTGCGGGCTGCCACGTTGTTTTATGCCCAAGTCGATGCTCGGACATGCACGAGCCAAGTACTTTTCTGATAGGTGCCTTTGCGACTCTTGAAGATGCGCGATTTGCAGTTTTTTAGTCTTGATAAGCATTTCGATTTGGTTTTTGGGATCGTTCTGTTTTAAGATATTTAATAAATGCTGGGCGCGCTATAATGAAATTAATTGTGTTTCAGCGAATCTCGAGGAAGTCCTGGACCTTTCGTCGTCGTTGCAAGATTATCATCTCCAGGAAGTGACGCTTTACGCAAAGCAAGGCAGAGCCCTGGGATCGGCACTGAGTTCCCAGGATATAATGGCTCTACAGAGACAGGAAGAACGCAGGAGGCAACAAACCAAGCAAGGTGTCTTTGGCTTCATGTTCAAAAAGTCAAAGGACAGTTCACTGAGCACGGACAGCCTTGGAGGACGCAGTGTGTCGCCTGCGAGGAGCGACGAGACCGGAAGGAGTGCAAGTCCTTTGGCACCTCCGGCGAGACCTTTGCGCAAGAGACGACCGGCGCCCAAGCCACCAGTCTTGGAGAACGGCGAGGTGTCACAGGATAATTCCAAGGAGAAGATCGTTATAAGTCACAGTAGAAACAGCAGCGACAGTTCCGGATATCACGAAGCTTCCGTACTCAGTGACAATCCTGACTCGAATACTCGTATACCGGAAACTCTTCCACGGAGGAGTAAGGTGCCGGGAAATATGGATTCTCCTAGGAAACTCGCGCAGACTTCGCAGGCCAGTAAGAGCCTTGGAAATCTTGCCGCTGCTTCCGGGGGACTCAGTCATGGCGTCAGCAACACTTCCTTGAGCTCTACGGGTAGGTTTTATTTTATGAAAATTAGCCTTGATTGATACATTTAATTTAACAATACGTATAAGATGTGTTTGGATAGAGCGATGTGATTTTTTCGCATCTTTATTTCGCTTAGAAATTACATGGAAGGTTTTAATTTTTTTTTAATGCGCACAGATTCATGCTCAAGTAAGTCGCCATCTTGTATGGGACCCATTAGTGTATATTGTTGAGACATTACCTTGAACTTTCAAAATTTCTTTTTGATTAGGTTTGCGCAAGAAGAGGACTGCTCCGGCACCACCGCCACCTCCGATGGCACGACCTCTGTCGTCGGCTATATCAACTCAAGGATTGGAACGTATAGTGGATTCTGAAGAGTCGTTGACTTCTGACATGGATATATCGAAACCACCGTCAGACATTGGCGCTGCATCTTCAAAAGCCAATTCCGATATTGATGTACATTCCAATGCGAATTCCGGCGTTGCTATGAATTCTGTGAATTCAAGATCCACGGCTATTGAGTCCAAAGTTAATTCTGAGACAAGACTAGTGCCAGATGTCATTCCGAATTGCGTCAAGACGTCTAAGACTGATTCTGAAATGGTGGAAAAAACGAAGCCTGAACTGAAAGCAGCGGATAAGAATATTCCAAAATCAAATTCGGAAATTGTACCAGCGCCATCTGTACCGCGTACAATGAATGTAGCAACTGCTAGAGTAGAGAAAAGAGGTAAGCTAGTACGTAGCCCCAGTAGCATAGAGAACAATTTACCCTCGTACAGTTTTATTTCGAGAAACAGTCTGGAAAATGTGCTCGAAGTAGGCGAGGGGTTTGAAATGAAATTCAATGATAAGGAACTCACGAATTTTGACAGATCACAAAGACAAACTCGAGTATCGGAATTCTCAGATCAAAGTAGTTTTAAGATAACAAGGAATTTCGACAACAATCTTATACCTTGTAACACTAGCCAATGTAGTTTTAGGAGTGAGGCAACTTCAGACTATTTATCGTCAAATTCGAGCGATCTTTTTGAAAAATACAATTATACAAAATTACAAAAATCCCAAAGTCTCATTTACCATAATAACGTAACAAGTCGCAAGCCTAGTTGTACAAGAACTGTGAGTCTTGAAAATAGTAAGAGAAATTCATCCCTTGAATCAATTCGTGAAAAATATTCTCCAAAAATGAATCTAGATTCAGCTCAAAAATCTCGACACAGACTTACCAAAATACCCACAATAGCTAATTTAGAGGATGTAGAGTCAGACATAGACAATATGCCAGAATGCGGTATACTCGAGAGTAGATTCAGCCCTAATCGATCCCACGCCGGTAATTATATTTGCAATGAGCGATGTCAGGCACGCATGTTAAAGCACAGTTTGAGTTTTCAAAATTCGCAAAGGCTAAAGGATACGAAAATAATAAGCAGCTTTGAGAAGCCACTTTTGAAGTCCTCCAAAAGTTTCTCCACAAAGTCAGAGGTATATTCGTCCGATAATATAGAGAGATTGAATTACAATAGGGCGCCAAGATTAGGTGATTTAAATACAATCAAGTGTTATCAAGGCGCGATAACGTCGAGTCTTGACGAGGATAGTTACAATGCACTGAACTATTGTGATTACGACAAGACCAATATCTCTCCCCCGCCTTTGAGCAACTTGCAAATTTTTGCTATCTCAACGAAACCGGTAGACATTCAAGTTGGAGCAATGGACTCGATACCAAGTGAGATCGACAAATTACCATCTCTGCCAATCATCAATCACGACGAGAGTAAACATGGTCCTGACAAAAAATTGAGCATTTTAGAACCGCCGCCGCCGGGTTTGGTCAGTCGTCAGGAGTCCAACGATAACTGGAATAAGTTTTTAGTCCAATTGAATTCCATTCTCGAGAGTCGAGTCGGTGAATTCGTTTAATGATCTTAAACGATATAAATTCATAATAATATTATACTAATTAACGTAAATACCTTTAAGCTTTAACGTTATAAATAATATCCTCTCGTCTACTTCATCGTTAAAAAACAATAGGTACATGAGATACATAAGTATCATATTTTTCCCTTTCAATTAAATTCCATTCATTAATGATCAACGTACGTAAGTCAATTTATGATTTTGTATCTTGCCACGCTTTGTTCTTCCTTAAGCATTATTATACGTATCAGTTTCTTCCCTACGGTATGCACGTAGTTTATTTTATTTTAAGCACGCCTCGTTTGCTTAACTAACCTATCTTTTGGTGGTGGTTCTTTCTTTTTTCTTTTTTTTTCCATTCTAAACAGCCGGAGGACTTGCACCAATTCCCAAACCTCGTGAAACCAGTATTCCGGGGAGCATCAAGTCTGCAAATAGTCACGCACTGCAATGTAGCGAATCCCAGCCACTGCCTGCGCCTAGAACTCGTAGCGAGAGTACAACAAGCTTAGATAGTTTACCAAGCGTCCAGGAGTCTGTAAATATTTCCAAGTCCGTTGGTAAGATGTCAACAAAAAGTCTCGACACGATAGCCAGTAACGATACAAGAACCGCCCTGCCGTGTAGCAACGTACGAAAATCGGAGGCTGTAAAATCTGAGGTCTCACTTGATTCGAGAGAAATTTCACTGGAGAAAACACGCGACGAAGCTAAAGATATTTACAAAAAGGATAGCTTCGACGATGAGGTCCAAGTGTCATCCAATCGGACGAAACCTGAAGAACTCGTTGCATCACCTGGACCCATAAATTGCGGAAGAGTGGGACGCGATAAATTCGACGACAAAAAGCAAGAAAGTGTAGCACTCGGTACGGGCGACAAAAGGACGATCGTGACCGTGAAATCTGCGGAAGTAAGTGTCAAAGGTCAGGAAGAAACGAAAGAAGGTAAAAAGCATAGTGAAAGGAAAGCGCCAGAAAAACCAAGACGCAGGACCTTAGAGATAGCTGAGTTGAATATCAAGAAGGATCCGGGAGAAGAGAATAACGAGAATAAGGCGAGCAAGCCAGTTTTACGAGGCTCGGTAATGGAGTTTAAGAAAGATAATTTTTCTCAAGAATCTTCAACGTCCATTGAGGGTAATAAAGAGACGATGGAGAATATAGTGAAACGCTTGGGACCAGGTAAAGCCATTCGAAAGACCTGCAGCATGAAACAATTGCATGAAAAATGGGAAAATCGTAAACTACCATCAGGAGGCGATTCCTTAAAACACGCGAAGAGTATGGACGACATTTATGGTATTTGTACACGAAAGGAATCTGGATATATAAGAAAAAAGAATTCAATGCAAACGAGATCCTGCGCCGTGATCTCGACTATACCAAAGTGCGAGCACATAGCGCCTAAATGGGACGATGATGTCAGGAAGATAACGAAGCACAATTTGCAGACGGAAAAGCCTAAATCAAAGAGCTTTGAACACCCTGTCAACGTAAAAGGTTCTTTGGGTCTTCCTTTCGATGCTGGAGAATCGATAGTTCACTGCAGTCTCGAATTGGATGCTCGCAAAGAGTCATTCGGTCTTACCGAGGACGAGCTTGCAAATTTAGAGAACATTGGGATGTTAAAGCGAGATAAAAAAATGCCCAAGCGCATGAAAATATTCAGGAGCCATTCTGACTTAAATAACTTTGAGATAAACACATTCGGTAGGCATCCAAGATACTTGACAGCTTATGCTGAGGATTTCGCAGGAGTGCTCAATACCAATCTGACTACAAATGTATTAAAATTAGATGAGAAAGAAAGAAAGGATCATAAGGATCTGTCGAATGAAGATTCAACGAGCAATGAGTATATCGGAAGTTCACAAATCTCCATATCCGGTACAGAATTTCCGTCATTCATGACCCATGGTACCCATTTTGCAGACTGGCAGGATATTCAGAATTTGAAGGACGACGCTGAAGAAGACACTACGATTATTGGTCAATCAGGTGCATGTCGCTGTGTTACTACTAACATTGTCAGTCTCACTATAGCTTTAACAATATAGTATAGTACAGTGTGTTTTACATATTGGAGCGTTTTTATATTAGAGTAGCGGGAGAAGGATCGTTTTTCAAATTAAACATTGGAAAGCTTACCAGAGTGTATACGCGAAACTTGGTGTTCGATGCACTTCGGTTTACAAATTGCATATTTTAAATAAAATCATTTGTCCATATTTCAACGAATGCCTTTAGCGAAATTCATACGCATAAGAGTATGCGAAAACCGGAGAGCCTATTTTCCAATTTAAATCCTCGACAAGCCTGCACGATGGTATTTCGAAATGCTTTTTATATCAGGTGAAGGTCTATTTGTATTTTTATTTCTTATGCAATCTTTCACTCGTGTACGTTGGTCATGGCACGCATTTTTTTACACACTACTATACCTTTGAATTATTATTAGAATATAATCATCTGTTCTAATCACCAAAACAGTACGTAATTGTTTTTTATCTGTACTATTTTAGATAACGAGGATGGTCCAATGCAAACGGATGTTTTGCTCCGCAAAGTGTCGGACACGTTATCAGGCTCTTTGGTTCCGCCGCCACAGCCGCCCACAATGCCCCCTGACAGTTCCTGTTCATCGTTATCCGGAAGCGACGAAGCACAAAGCGCAGCGAAAAGAAATCCAGTGGATATTTTATTGAGTGAAGCAACCGAGACACTCAACGAGACGATAGAGTCGACCAAGAAAATAGAAAATGCTGTCAAATTGAGTCAAGTAAAGATAAAGCAAAGCAATCTTTCTCCAGCTCAAACAATCTTAAGATCGAGTACCCCAAATTTAACGTTAAGTTCGTCGCAGCAAGATACTTCCGACTACGTATCAGCCGGTGGGGATGATTTATCTATAACCGATTGGGAATATCAACTACCAGCTCCGCCAAGTGCATTTCGAGATAACGATTCGCCAGCTTTCAATGATTACGAAACCATCACTCTTGGATCCGTGGAAGCTTTTAAGGAGCCCATTGCTCGTATAGTCGATAAGACGGATGCGGAGACGAAGAATGAGAATAATCTGACAATAACAAATAAAACTGCTACTAAATCTTCAGCTGTCAGTAGCAAAGCAAAGCATGTAAAACCAATTGTCGATGTGACACCACCAACTGTAATGGATAAAAAATCCTTCACCAGACAAATATCCACAGAGAGTCGTGGGAGTGACGCCAGTCTGGAATTGAAGAAGGAAGTCATCTCTGAGCTTGAGAACAGAATCGAAACCGGACGCTTGTCGCAATCCAATATCAAGCATAGTGAAACAGACTCCAGAAGAGCGTCTGAAATTTCATCAACTCCTACACTAGCGCCTGTCGACAATACTTTATCAAATTTCACAATCACAACCTATTCCGGGCAAAGGAGTTTGAATATATTTGATGAGGCTGAGCAGCAGCAACAACAACAACAATCGGATGACAAGACTGTCAAGAGTTTTGCTACCTTAAATAGGAGTAGAACCATTTCAGAAAATTCTAATGGCAGTATACAGTCGCCTAGAAGTTCTACAGCTAGGGAACGTGATTTTGTACAAACGAAAACGCTTCCAGCTAATGGATACGATGGGCAAGAATCATTAGAGCAGACAGAGTTCCTTAAACCAGTGCCAAAATCCTTGAAACACGAATCACTTCCTAGCAGTCAGTCATTCGGTAATGACGATGAGAAGTCCAGCAATTTGCACAAATCCAAGAGTTATATATCATGGGTAAATAATACTAAAGTTAGAACTGGAATCAGTGGCGAGGAAGACAGTATGAATTCCATGACGTACGACAGCATAGATAACTCTGGTGAACCGATAAGAAAATCTGTAAGCATCAATAATTTGAGTCAGGATACATCTAGGGGTAACGAGAAGTTTTCACAGTGGAGGGAAAATATTCTGAAACGTCAAGAAGAACCAACCAAGGAGAAACAGTTACAATCCTTACAGGTAATTACTTCCTTGACTATCTTGAGATGATCTTTCTTCTTAGTATTTGATGACTGTTTTTGTTCCATTTACGTAGGTTCTTAAGAACATTTTACCGAAGTTGAAGAACTCTCAACAAACGGATGAAAATGTAATCGAACAGTCCAGAAATAAAGTCGCTGACGAGCAAATGTAAGTTCTTAATAATTATGGTATTTATCAAAACAGTTTTCTTGTGGCTAAAAAAAATCTGTTTTCTTTCAGAACGAAAGTCGTTTCCTCTATCGAACATTCCACCGAATCGAGTGTCGATTCAAACACAGCTGATTCTAAATTGAAAGCAGAGTCAGAGATGCAGAAAGTAAGGACAGAAGAATCAAGCGGAAAACGTTTCTCCTACTCTGGACCACCTGCTATAAGTTTGGGAAGCTGGTCGGAAAGGCCATGTGTCAATGTTCAAATAAAGATGGACACGGATTACAAATTCGGCAAGAGCAATACCTCCGGGGCTAAAACAGTTGTAAATTTAAATGGTACCCGGGACGAGGCTGATTATGTAAAGTTTAATGGCGATGCTGGGAGCACTTTGCCGAGAAAGGTTGTAAAGAGTAATTTTATTGAAAATGAGATGAGCACCGAGCTGAAAAAGTCTGAGAATAAAGAGAAGGAAGAACTCGCAAATAAACTAATAACACACACAACGCCATCTGGATTTAAGAGGCCAGCATTAAATAAAATTGGCTTCCCCGAGGGCAGATCGGTTCCCAACAATGAGGACAAGCCTATCGTAACGGCTATGGAATTGAAAAAAACAGATGCCGACAAAAACGACCCTCCGAGGAACCAGAAACAACAGGAGGATGACGATGATGATATCGACACGCGTCCAGTGAAGTTCGAGGAGCTAACAAAGGCATTTGGACAGGAAGTTACGCGCAGAGCGAAACCAAAACATATAGTACAGAATCGACATTCTGATTACTATGGCTCAAAGCCGGAAATTATAACGAATTTTATTAAATCGGATATCAATCAAAATGGATTCGCGCATTCTAATAAAGTAGCACCGAAACAGGTAGAACCTGTACGCAATAACAGTGTCGTGTCGAATGAGATCAACAACGATGCTCAAAATATTCCAATTAAGAAGTATACATCGGTTATTGGTATAAATTCACAAGGAGCACATTTTGCTAATCAAAATGGAAATTTTGCGATGAAGAATCGTTCTAGTTCGATTAAGATCAATGGTCCGATGCCTGTCGTTAAAGGATTCAAAATACAGGCATCTGAAATAGAACCAAAAGTCATTACTGCACCAGCCAGACAAAATGGATTCTCGGTTGTCAATGGTCCGAAGAAACTGTCACAGACACCACAGCCTCCAACCATGCCTGTCATTACTGGCGTCACTTTAAAAAGTAACAGTGCTAGACCGAAGTCAATGCCACTCCAAAAAGATTCTAGAGACGATTTGCTAGAATCTATTCGAAATTTTGGTGGACGTGATAAGTTGAAAACCGTGAGTACTTTTTTTTTTAAATATATTTGTACATATTAATTATATAATTATAAAACTCTGGGGATTCATTTATTTCAGGCTACAGGAAGAAGATACTAACCTTCAGTGCCCTTCGGTGCAGATGTATAAATAATTAAAGTAAGCTTTGAGTCATAATCATAAAATACATAAAAGTTAGCACGAGGAAGTTATTGAACGCAGCTGTTTCGTTATTTTGTAAAAAAAATGTCAGAACTGCGATATTTCTGTAAAATATTCGTCACTCTTGACTGAACCACAGTTTAAAGTTGTCTCGTTCAGTTTAAGTGCTGCGTGGTTAGCAGCGTAAGAAACTTGTGGTATAAAGCTTTCAAATGTTAGATTATCAGAATGTATATAGTCGTTTACATGTTTGTGCATATTATCGTGGAAAGGAAATTACGTAGTCGTTTCCTAAACTGGAAACGTTCCTTTGATACGAGAAATGAAACAAAAAGAAACCAGTTTGGTGCTCCTGTTATGTATAATTAATAAGAAGACGTTTGAAAATTGAGATAATTGTTCATAGATGCTTTAGAGATTCCACTGTTTTCGTTGTTATTTTGGCACAAAAAAATGACGTCAGTAAAATGGCGAGGATTTCCATAATCGACGAATTAAATCATGCAAATACTCTTTCTATATAGCTTCAGCGCGAAAACTGAGCGAAACAGAAATTATTTATCCTGTCGATTGACGAGCAAATAACAATGTTTGTTTAGTTCAATTACTAGGGTCATTTATTTGTTAATTTTTGGTTCGCTTTCGGTAATAGAGCACTATTTTATGATTTATATGAAAGTCCTCGACGTTACAAGCTACGTTTATTTTTTTTTTTAATTACGCCTACGTTACTTTGAAAAAGTAATTTAGCAGTTTATTCATAACTGAATGCACTATGCAGAAAAATTTTGAAAAGCACGGCATAGTATCAAAAGTTATTGAACGTGTATATATACGATTGGCGTATGAAGTAGCTCATACGTGGAACGTATCCTTTCAATGGAAGCTAGTTAAGCTTGGATTTAATCATCGATGTAAAATAAAAAATTAGTATCTTTATTATTGCTCATGTAGTCATGTCTTTATGCGAAGGATGAAGAAAGTAATCGAAACTACGTTAAGTTCTAATTAGTCGAATAAGACCGTTCAAGCCAGGCTTTGGGTGAGATTTCTAATAAATAAAATAATTATACCAAAGTTGGCCGTGGACGGACAATAACGATGTACTAATCATACAATTGTTACTGACTAACATCCTCTAATCATTGGAAATACACATTAAGTTTCTATCAACGGGACCAAAGGTAACACTCTTCTTATTTTATATCGTACAACGAATTTAGAGATAGCAAAAGTTAATGAATGGAAATGAAGTGGCGTACTTGCGACAAAAAGAATATAAAAGAAAACATTAGTCAAAATATATACTCTAAAGCATTCTAAGATGGAGATTAGTATTTCTATAATGAAAAAAGTTTATATAAAACTTTGTAAAATTTGTACGAAAGATAAAAATGTTTATTTTGTTTATGCCTCTACGTTTACTGTTTAACAATAATCGTATTGCGTTATATTATATATTGGCAAATACAAAACAGCGCATCTGTATGGGTATTAATTAATGAAGGAATTAATTAGGTACCGTTTGTACTTCAATTTTGCCATTTGGATATACTTCTTGCATCTATTTATATGAATTATGGCAACAACCTCTAAATGTTTATATATATATTCATATATATGTACTCCTTACCTGTTAAAACGATTGTTATTACTTACTGATTCTCATAGAATGACAAAAAGTAAATCAACCTCAAATTGTTGTTCACCCACAATGGTTGTGTTTTTTTTTTGGGGGAGAATTTAATGATCCTGGGTAGGTATTCATTAGTTTATAAAAATTTGTGTTTCTTATGTCAACATTGTATTTCAATACTTCACAGCTAATATCAGGTTAACCGTTATAAGATATTTACGGTGATGCTATATGGCGTTGTGACTGACAGTCATCTATAAATTAAACAAATTGATAATCTATTGTCGAGCGAGAAGAAACAGAAATTTGTTCTAAAATTAGGAGTGGGCCATTTAATTTCTATTCGTCGACTTAAAAACGGGGAAAAGACAGATGCGCGAATTTTTTGTTGGCGGTTAATATTGAATAAGAACTTAAAAATGAAATTATATTGTATATAGCACATATGTCAATACTGTATTTAATATTATTATCCTCTACGCAACTATAACATCATAAAACTGTAATCTATTTATGTAAGTTATAACTTATAGTTGCATTAAAGTTAATCCTACATGAAATGCCTTAACTGATTTATCCTTTGCATTATTTGTTGCAAACTTATAAAAAGCAACTAATTTTTAATTCTATCAGCACCGACATCTCTCATATTGTTTGTTATAAACGACCGATTATACTTGGTAATTTTTCTAAATCCAACATATCGTACTTGATGGACGAAGTACTTACATATAACGATAACGTAAAAATTGATTATTTTGGCAATACTGCAGAAACTTAATAATTATAATGTATAACAGTAGAATATTTAATATGATATAATATTATTTGGAGTTCATAAAATATATAAACCATTTGTAATATACGCTAAAACTATTGTTTCTCCATCATAACGATTTGAAGTTGTCATGAATTTATGTTGCTAGCTTCAGAGCTTGTATTGAAATGATAAAAGGCACTTTAAAATCACAGTTTCTCAATATGAATATATAAAAATATCAAAATTTGTATTCCAATTACTTTCTGTATCTAAAGAGATTACTATCTCCATGAGATAGAACAATCTATTACTTTTTTTCAAATAACGAATGCACTAAGTAATAAGCGAAATAGACTACCTAATCATCAGGAATAGGAGCGTTACAGTTTCCATGCCATAGTTTGGTTTCTGAATCACACTGGGCGTAACTACTAAAAACATCAGTGTATCCACGATCCCTCCACCATGTACACAACTGTCTGTTCCAGCCACAATCAAGTGTGTAAATAAATTCAGGTCTCTCCATTCCCAATATGGTATAAAAGTCCTGGTCTCCTAAGTGACCCTGAGCAAATAAGTCTTTACATTAGTATTACACATATATTATTAAATCCTTAGCTATATGTTATACATATATGTATATATACCTTGAAATTAAATTTTTCTGCAAGATGATCAACACTATCTTGACTAACAATTTGATCATATTCCAAGGAGTTTCGTAACCTTTCTAGATTGATTAATATTACCCCACTATTATAGCCAGAGTATCCTCCTGAATATAAAGGCTCACCAAATATTGTCTTTGGATTTTTACTCCTGTAGAGATATAGGACATGCCGATAGACAGGAGTTAATTCTGGTGCCAGACCGAACAGAGCCTTCTCTCCAAAGTGGTTAAACTCTTGAAAAAGTTCTTTAATGTCTCTTCTGAGCTTGGTATCGACATCAAACATAACAGCCAAATTTTGATCCATTGGTGCTATTCTATGCAAGCCCAGTGACAGAAAGAACAAAGCATCTGAGTAATACGTCCCTGGCTTGCTACTAAAATGAGGTGACATCACAGAAACAATATTTTCAAGCTGCGAAGCCAATTTGTGTACATCATAATATTGCACCTGAAAAAATATTATTAATAAAAATATTGATATCGCTCTAGCCATATCTTATGCTATCGAAAATAGCTTAATCCTACCTTCATTAGTTTTCCAGTCATTCTCATAATACCCTGTATTTCATTTTCAGCAATTCCTTTGCTGTCAGAATCGGTTATCACATGGAAGGCTATGTCAACAGTTGCTAGCCTAAGCAACGTTTCCGAAAATATCTTAAATTTTCTCCGTATAGGAGAATTAGAAGTGACCTTAGTAAATATGCACCATACATTATAATATTCAATCTTCTTCGGGGTCACCGTACTGTCAACATAGCTACTCGAGGCTATGTCATTAGAGTATTTAGCCACAGCTACGGCGGATGGAAATTCCATTTTCTCTGAAACATTCTGTCCACCAAAATTATACGTGTTCCAATAGACACTAGTAGATGCTTGAAACGAGTACAGTAAAACGAAGAACACCGCGCAAAATGTCAATTTCAATAAGATCTTCCGTAACAAGTACATTTATAGCCGTCGTCTGAAAACAGACACCTACGTTGACACAAATGTAACCGCCTCACAGGGGCCCGTTTCATTCACGCAACAATGACAGTATAGTCACACAAGAAAGCTGCATTTGCTCAGCACGGTTTGGCTAATAAAACAGAATTCGAAGATTTTCGTCGTGATAAACAGCACATTTGTTGTGTAAAAATTCAACGTCAAAACAATGATCACTCAACAAAAATTTCATCCTAATTCCTCACAAGTTTTCATGTTCCTCACGATTCTTGTTTAACATACCGAACAATCCATTCATATCTTTTCACAAGAAGTTCATAAACAATCGAATCATTGTTTCACTCCAGATCGAAGCTTCACTCTTTTTATTGATAAACGTTCCGACGACTACCCACTGTGCACAAGGTGTACCTCTACGGATGCTGTGCGTCGTCACGGGGCCCGTATAAAATCCAGGAAAACATGTCCGCTCCTGGCTCTCAACATTAGGCTGCACGAGATTCATGGATGCACGACTGTGTCAATTCAGTATCTCTACAGTATTAACGGTACAAGAGGATTGACCGACAAAATGTCTGACGAACAGCGCAATGGACTCTCATGCATTAAAATTCATTGAGATAAATGGAAATCCGATTAAACAGAATATAAATACATTTTTTGCACTTCATGCTTAACCATAAAATTTCAATCTGGTATGATAAATGTATATTATGAGAGTATATATATATATATCTGTATATCATTCTCGTCCTCGGTATCTTGTTACCGTCTCTATCCTTTTATCAAAGGTGAAGAGATAACATCATCGACGCAATTTTCTATCAGCTTTCAATAATACAATATGTAAGCAGTAGACATCGATTAATCTGTACAAGTCCACGCCTTAATCTCGGTTCAGTCAGATCTACAGGATCTAGGTAAAGACAAATTAGTAATTTTTTCGCTTTGCTCGAGGTGATGTATATATTTTTTAATATTCTCAGATATAAAACTGCAAACTTTAAAGCGTTATACTTGAGATTATTGTAATCTACATTCTCATAATGTTTTATCTGACCGGAATGGTACGGATTTGATAGAATTTGAGGTGTTTTTAAATTGAGTTACTTCGTTATTCGTATTTTTATGGTTAATCACGTATGCTGTTATCATATTATTGAACGTGCAATTTCGATTGTAAACAAAATGCTTGTCTGTGTTCCTTCCGAATATTATATGACAGTCATATATTTTTATATGATTGAAAACTGACTCCTATGGTTCCATGTTCAAGTGGTACGTTTGGAGTGAACAACCAGGTACCTACATATAGAATTATTCAAAAGTATGAGTGTCTGAAAAATCCATCAACCGAAAGCCTATCAGATATAATATTGATAACAAAAGTTAAAGATAGTAAGATCGTGTGTTGCCTGCTCTTTGTTAGAACGTATTAGAAATATAATATTTATTACAATTTTAAAAAACGAATAAGTTATTTTAGTACACGTTTGAAATTGCCCAATCGATTAAAATCAATTGACTTAACATTATGTATATCGATAGTCGCATATAATAAAAAGATTCTTTTTACCATTTAGCATGACTTCAAAATTCAAGTCTATGTTCAAGAGACAAGCGTCTCAGTCGGTACACTCACATGTCGAGAATACAGAAGAATCGAGTGCAATTATGCAAGAAATGTACGCGGTATCGTCCGAATTTATGGTCAAACCAAGTATATCGAGGGACAATCAAGAAGCGGAAAGTTCAATAACAATTCGTGCGAAAAGTCCTCGAAGACGCTACAGGTAGAGTGACAAGTAGTATTCGATTGATATTGAGTCTGAATAACGATGGTTATTTTATCAATCTATCAACACAGAACTTCATTAGGAGCCATTGAAGACTTGTTGCAATGTCTGCTGTGTATGGAAAGGTTAAAATCACCAAGGATGATGCCATGCCAGCATACATTCTGTGAGAATTGCTTAGCAGAACAAATTATGGATCCAGGAAACTTGGGTGAGTATATAAATTTGACTGACAATGAAACGAATATGGAATATATCGTAAAGTGTTCGAAAGTGTTGTAAAAAAATAAGAATTGGTAATCCGTAATCCCAAACAGTACAAAGCCAGATTTGATACGTTATCGCCTCGCGAAATTTGAACGTATGAATGAGTGGAATATCGATTGGTGCAAACACTAACTCGACAAAGCTTCACATCGATTTACGTACATATGTCGATTCTGACAGGGCGTTTAAAAGCTGAAATAAGCGTCCTGAAAAATATGAATCAGACTTTAATATTATTTTGATAGCATGAATTTTCATACGTCAAATATTGGAGTATATTAAATAAAATTTTTTTTTAAAAATCGTACAATTTATTCATACTACAAAAAAATGATTTGAAAACTGACTACTCGTTGATGTATCTCTCATGAAGTGTATGAAAATTTATTTTTATAGACAAAGTCATGCAGTGTCCGCTGTGTCATTTAACGGTGGTGGATTCGACGCCGGAAAAATTGCCGACAAATTTATACATTGAAAGCTTATTACGCGTGATGGAGAATCCTGGTGACAGTCTCACTCATTTTGATTCACGTAGTCCTATAGTCAGTTTTGCCCCAACGACCAATCAGTCTCAGACTGAAAATCGGGCGGAGAAATTAATAAGATGTAAGAAATGCGGCACAGAGTGCACTCGTGATAACAAATGCAACCATTGCAAGCAGGTGAGACAATGTGGTTAATGACTCATGTTTACATAATGAGCAACTGTATAATAATAATTAATAATTGTAAATAGATATTTTGCGGTGTATGCTGGGTGGCGCATATGGACGAATTAAAGGAGCTACTTGGAAGTATCGCCGAGCAATTAGAAGCCACAGCCAACAGATTCGAATACAGAATCGATGAGTTTCGAGTAAATTTGACTTAATCAATTTATCTTTTAGAAACCTTCCTTTCGATTTATTCTCAGTACCTATTCAATGATGTCGTACCACTATTATTTATCCTCGCAGGCTAAAATCGACGCCTTGAAGGAGTCTATCGACAAAGACATTGAATTAAGGATCGCTGAGCTAAAGCACGAGCGCGAGGAGAGAATCAAGAAGGCAACGGCAACGGCGTCGAAGGGCGAATTTTCCGCTGAGGAAATAAAACAGCGAATATTTAAGATACAAGCAGAAGTGAATGAACAGAAGGACGCGACTTACGCCACGCTAGCTGACAATCACGAAAAGGTAATCGTATACCCATTTACGGAGTGATTTCCTATATTGACACGTCACTCGGTTCAGGCACGTAAACAGATACCATACAATCTTCCTGATATACATATATTCCTCCTTGAAAGACCGAGGAGGCGCCCAAAAATCTTAAACGATACCACCGAGAAGAGCCTGTTGAAACGTATTTAAAAGTGGCCTTTTTTCCAAATAAACTCTGGACCACCCCACCTGTCCAGAGCAGGGTCTCGCAGTATTGATCATTCGGGGATGAGGAAGGTGCGAGGACCAGGGGTACGCGGAGAGCTGAGGAGGGTAACAGCCAGGAGGACTGGGAGGATGCTGGATGGGTCGCAGGGTTGGTCGGAGGGTGGCTAGCTAGAGCAAACCCAGCATCTCTCGTAACCAGAGTGAGGGAGCCGAGTGCACAAGCTCGGTATGGCGAAGCGGATAGGATAGGAGCGTAGTGTGTATAATGGTATTGGTATATAAGGCACGAGCAGCCAACGTCTGCCGCTGACAGCCCATTACCACTGTACAAACGCAAGTCCAGAAGTTCGCCAGGGTAGGTAGGATTGGGGTAGGAAAAAACTGGCAAGTCCGGGAGAAGGAGAAGATACGTAGACATGGGTAGAGCAAGCTGGACCAGCATCGCCTTCAATGGAGAACATTTTGTTCGAGAGAAATCCTAAGGGGAAGACAGTGATGTTAAACTTTGAGAAAATTCATTTACTCATAAGGATTAAAAAACGAAGTCCTTCAGCTTCACTCAAACAGGATGGATCTTGGATGGAGCCTGAAAATTCACATAAATCCGGAAACTCCGGAGCTTATCAATATAATTCTTATCATATGCCATTCGTATACTCAGTAAAAATCTGACGTTTCTTTAAACTTGCAGATCAGTGTTCAGCAAGATATATATTTTTATCCACGGATATACAAACAACATAACTGGACACGAGAACGACCATTTTACGTACGAGTCTCAATATCTTCCGTATGATATTTAAACATTCAAATTCATACGCAACGCGTGATTGTTTACACACGAGTATGTTTGGTCTATACGATTACACGTAACGCGGTACGTATATACGGACGGTAGAACCCATTGCGAATCAATTTTCCCGGTCTTGTCTTGATCCAGGAGCGAGGCTGCGAGGGTGAGCCACGCTTGCCACGCCTGCCACCCTCATGAAGCACCCCATAAGCCACGCCCGCCACCCTCGACCAAAGGCCCGAGGGCTAATAATTCACGTCACGAACACACTCCACCATAAAGAGTCAACTACAGGCTTCTGTATTCCATAGTTATCCTCGCATAAACGTTATCCAGTTGCAGTAACTGTTAATTACCGATCATCTTTATAACTTATTGCCACCCCTAGATCGCTCGTTTAATTTTAGCTTCCCGATACGGAGCGATAGTTATTAATTAACACGTATGTCAATAGTGTTAACGATCATTACCAATTACACTATTTATGCATTTGACGTAAACAATCGAATCAGTAGAATGTGTCTTTAATAATAGCACTGTATTGGCTAACATCGATAAGTGTCAATGAGTATTTTATCATTAGGGAAAATATTTTTTTCTTCTAAATCTTTCATAGGGTACATAGTGTAAGATTCGTGTGTTAAGGGGTTGAAGGGTAACGATTAACAATTTTTTAGTGCAGAACACCGCACGCGTTGGCGGTGTCTACGTCCCTGAAATTAGCCACAGTGACATATTGTAGCTATGGGGTTGCAAAAGGACTGCTCTATAGATACCCTGTAACTGAGGGGTACTGTCAACCCTGGGAAAATCAACTGACGTGTAACTAACAAGCGTGTCATTAATTTTAATATGTATGTTTATATAGCACTGGTTAGGGAATCGATGCTGGGTATGCCTAATTTTACAGCGACTCTTGTGCGAGTCTCGTCCACATCCTGAAAATGGGAGGAAATGATTTTAATATATTCTCCCTTGAACTTCCTGAAAAAACGTGAAATTCCGCACAACCCTTTTATACGTACACAAAGAGAATTATGAGCGTTAATCGATGCCAGGCATTGCCTTGTTTGAATGTTCTATAAAGGCTTGTTCACAAGTTAACGAGCAGTCTGAAAACAGCTTCACTACGTAGTCAAGATTAATTAGCGATAATAAGACACAATTAAAATATCGATAAAACGAATACCGTTTAAACATCTTATATCGTTTGTTTAGACATTGCAATTGAGGTTTAACGGTATAGTAAATTTTGAAACAAAAAATACATTAAAGTCCACGAGTTCGATTTTTGGATTTATATAAAAATTACAATACTCGTGGTAATTGTAAAGTCGAAAATGTTAATTTTTTCAACGCACTCCTAAGATTTATCAAAGGAATCAATGAACCCAAATGAAATATGCAGAGCAATGCAGTTGACGTTCGCCAGGATATTTTGAGATGCACCGATGCGACACTAAACTGCGGCCAATTGAGAACACCCTCTGAACTACCCTTACTTTCTGGCACTTTACCTAGAGCCCCTGGTACAGTGTGGTCGCGTGTCGACGTGTGCGGTCTTTTGTCAATTTTTCACAGGGTGAACCTCCATGAGGCTACGTGCAAAGACACGTGTTACAAATAGGCTTGGTGGCCTACAGTCCGCTTGGCGGGTTTTCACTCAGCAGGATTTCACCAGGCTGAACTTCTTGAGTAAATCAGATTGGAGCAGTGTCTCATTTGAATATTTATGCCACTGGGAATCAAGACCACTTTCAATCATCACGATGGATCCACTGAGAAAGCAAACTCGATCAAGAGTTTAGATTCGCACAAGCATCTCGAATTCATTGAAAGTCTTCCTTTATCTTCTAGGTCAAGACCTTTTTACTCTTGCACCACAAAGCAAGTGACGTAATGGCTGCTATTGCTGCATGGAAACCGGATCTCTCTGACGACGTTGACTACGATGAGAATAAGCAGAGACTAGAAGTCACTAAAAGCAAGGAGAATGTAAATCTTTACTACAAGTAAGATATACTTTGATTTCTACTGAGTTTTTTATAGTTCTTATCACCTTTTTTTTTATCAGGAGCAAAGCATTTACTCCAAAATTGATTGTTGGTGGTGAGGTGGTGCATCGACCGTCGGGACTAGCTTTCGATCCTTGGAGACAAGTAACCTTCGTCGCGTGTCCGGGGACAAGTCATATCGTTGCACTTGATAAGAAGTTCAAGGTGTTGAGAAGAATTCAGCATAAGGATATGTTGGCTCCTCAGGGTATCTTATTCCTGGAGGACATGGAAGAACTTTTTGTAACAGGTAAATAATTGATGATATTGATTAACGTTTATTTTTTTATAATTCTCAATTTTTTTATTCAGATAAATGGAAGCACTGTATCTACGTGTTCAATAAAAAGGGTGACTTTATACGGCGTATTGGTAGCAAAGGCATTGGCGATACGCAATTTCGTTCTCCGGAAGGAATAGCTGCTCATCCGAGACAGAATCTTATTTATGTTGCTGATACTGGCAATGATAGAGTTCAAATTCTTCAACCCGACGGTACTTTCTATGGAAGCATTGGACTCATCGAGAAACAAGTGACGAATGTTACTTTACATGGGAAAGTTGTTAATACTACTGCCAATCATTTTAATCAGCCTACCGATGTGGCTGTATCTTTATCCACCATTGTTGTGGCTGACTGTGGTAATCATAAGATCAAGGTAAAATATTTCTACGTATTTACATATTTTTATTTAATCATTGAATATATAGTTTTTCGTTAATATATTCTTTTCAGGTTTTCAGTCACGATCTGCAACATATCAATACAATCGGCGGTCCCGGATCAATCAGAGGACTCTTTAGGTTTGTGGATATTTACTTTATATTTAATATGATAGAAGATTTTCAAAAACTGTTCAGAGTCATGGAAAGCAATAATATTTATGTTATATCACGGCAATGAAAATAATAGATTGCCTTACTAAATTCTGATGTATTATTTTATTTCACACTTTTAGATCTCCCGAAATCGTCAAAGTAGATATCAAAGGAAATATAATTGTTGGTGACTCCGGAAACGGTCGGATCCAAATATTTTCACCGGAAGGAGACCTCCTGAGAATTTTAGGAAGCAGAGGTACCAAGACTGGTCAATTTGGATGGGTATCCGGTTTGCTGATTAAAGACAATCTAGAAATCATAGTATCAGACAGCAAGAACTATACCATACAAGTATTTTAAAGACAAGAAGAAACAATTATTTCTCTAAATAATGATATATAGATATAAGTATATAACTGATACGTTACAATAAATAATAAGAGACATAGAATGTAATGTATTATAGAGTAAAAGTGTAACGCATCGTAACTCATCAATTTATTTAACTAAGTGTAAAATTCCCACTCGACACCGTTTGCTTTTCCCAACCACAGAGATCCAAATATCAAACAGATTTTCGGTAAACCGTGTCCAACCACTCGTATAGCCTCGTAAGCATATTTAACCAATAAATAATTTAGCAAACAAATTGATCCCCTAGGACTATAAACAGATACTTAGAGGCACGCGCCCGCACAGCCAATCAGAGTGGAATGAAATTGTCACGAGGTAAAGATCCAAAGCAGTGTTAAATTATACTCAAATCAGAGAGAATAGCGGACAATAAATGACCGGTTAACAGGGAGACCCCTACTGTGAGAACCAAGAGGGGGCCCGCGGCGTGAAATCTCTATTATAGGGGTTGGTAGGTACCCCTTGTTGTCCGGGGATGTACTGGTACTGACAGGGTACTCTACGGGACTTCGGGCCCTCGGAAATAATGTAATCGCAAATTAAATGTTTACTTGGAAATCGACAACCTTAAGGATGTTACCGAGGATACACTTCTGTAAGGTTGAAATTCCCTTTGTTAATTTTACCAGAAAATTTATCCCGCGCCAGACTTCCATAACCTACAAAGCCACAATTAATTAATCGGCCCAATGATCAAATTCGAGTTACGAAGGTAAAGCCGTGGGAGTAAACTGCGATATGACGTCTCCGTAAGATTCTGTGAAAGACATTTCCTAGAGCACACCGGGAGTTATTGTGATAGATATAAAAAAAAATTATCTGAGGTACTCATCTCGGTTTCTAAATGACGGATCCCCTGTGTCATGACGAATTCAAATAAATAATGGTTACTGTGACACAATACCCTCTCTTGAAATTTGTTACGGCGATACTTGAAATGGCACGCTCCTGCTATTTCTCTACAAATCGGTACTTCGACGAGAGGATGATACTCGTCTGTCATTTGTCAGATCTGGCTCGACTCGATGATCAAGAAGTAGAGAAGCCATGATGTTTTAGAAAAACATGTAGAAGCCAAAATTATTATTTTCCTCCATGGTATGAATGGTGGTAAGGCAGTTTTTTTATTGTGTAGTGAGGAGCGATAATATCAAAAAATTCAAATTACCCGCGGCTCCAAATGATTAATCCCTTTAGGACTACAAGGACACCCGTGTTCTCATACGCTCGAAAGCTAATCCCAATTATTGGAAGCGCCCTGGACAATAAAAGTTCTTTCGCAGAATCTTCAATGCTTTATGGCCGGTCACAGAACTACTCGATTTACTTTAAAGTACGTCGTACGACAAAACTTTGACAGTTGTACCTACAACCCTTCTAACCTATTGTCATCGTATTAACACCTTGCATAATTGCGGCACTGCATTTCATTGTGTACTAAACATACCTCATTTGAATATTGGTCTATTCATATCATTGAGAAGGCTAATATTTGAGCTGTAGTTTCGTACCTGTGGGGACGTATTCGATGAGCTGTTTTACCGATCGAGATATTTTCTCAGGCTGTCAGCTCGGCGACCGTTCGGATATTTAAACTGGTACGTCGTCATTCAACAGCGTTATTGAAACCATATGGAATTCATATCCTTGGTATAACCAAGTTTTGATTAAGGGATGGAGAGGTCTTTCATACGTAACTACATTAAATATATTATTCTTAGAAAAATTGCAAAATTATATCAACTGTCAGCTGGCGTCGTTTCTTTCGTCAAAATTGTTTTCGGATAAAAGGGTTTCATAACGTTTCACTAGACTAAAGCATGGCTCACCAAATTGAAACGACCCTCCTACCATACTATACCCTCTCACTGGTACATTCCCTCCAGTCCCTCTGCATGTTATGCTTCGGAAAATAAAATTTAGACGGCAGTAACAATAAACCACAGAACCTCTCGTCCCCACGTTTCGCAGATAAATGCGCTATTAAGTTTTCGCCAATGAGAATTCGGGCTGATAATCATTTTGCACAGCTCGAATTCCCATTGGTCGAAAGCTCCGCCCAGGGGTTGGTATCGATCATCCCCTCGTGATACAATTTACCGTATATAAAGCGAACTCCCCGGGGACTTTAGTGATAGTCGGAATTCAACCCTTATTAGGGATAGAGTTTTCATTCGTAAAGAACATAACGGTTGTTAGCTAATTTTAAGAAGTGCCGTTCGTTAAAATTTTTCATTAAATTTACGTAACGTGTTGAGTTTTACTCGAGAGGATCTTTGAATGCATTTTTATGTGAAATTTTATGAACAAGTCAATTAATGACTTTGTAAAGTCTCCTTTTCGTTGTGGCCTTAAAGTGTGTCCTTTGAAATGGCATCACATCCCGCTTACGATTACGAAGATCGAAGTCAGAGAATTCGACATCGCGTTGGTACGACGTCCAGACCAGCTGACTCCACTGTCGCCTGTTCTAGGTGAATAAATATTTAAAAACATCGATACTCTATAATTTCGTTTGAAAGCAATTTTCAAAATTATTTGCAACAAATATTTATGTATATTTAAATTCGAGATTTTTGTAATCAAAGTTATTTTTTTCATACCGAGATACTTGTTTTGGCCTGTGTCAAATTTCGAGTTTCAGCCACGTATAATTACTAGTTTTGTGTAAAGGCAAAGTTATTGAAATCACATGGCGATCGGTTTCTAAGAAAGAAAACAACGAATTTCCCTAGTTCCCAATACTACGTCGGACCAAGCAGTGACATCAGCGAAGAGGATCTGTCGGAACTGCCATCTTGTGTTTACGCAGGTAGACCAACGCAACATGTGACCCACGCACCTCAGCACACGCACTCGCCTTTGCATTATCACATGCCGGTGTCAACGCCAGGTACACACATTCATTTATCCAGTTTTCTTATTTCAAGTAACCTCTGTGATAAAGTGCATTTTCATCTGAAAAATGTTGCACAAAGTAAGCATAACCTATTTGCACAATCTGCCATACAATTTTGTCAACTAAATATGCCTATTGCATAAGGTTTGTACCATTTGACAGATCACAATGACCCGGATATGAATGGCGTGGAGGAAGGTTATTATCCCAACGGCAGCCCATACAGAATTCAGAGACACGCTGCAAATATTCGCGAAAGGAAACGTATGCTGAGGTAAGAAACGGTCCAATTATAATTATTCGATGTAATGTTAATGTTGGCAATGAGGATAAGTCTGCTAAAATTTAGAAGCAGATTGTAAGCGTAATTGCGATTTTTAGCAGCATCAACTCCGCTTTCGACGAGCTCCGAGTTCACGTGCCGACATTTCCTTATGAGAAGCGATTATCAAAAATCGACACGCTAAGACTAGCAATAGCGTATATCGCGCTTCTCAGGGAAGTTTTAGCGGCAAGACTTGACCCTTTGACCTACGTCGAAAGGTGCCTTAGAGGTGAAATAAGTGGAGAACGTGCCGAATGGAACACCAGTGGTAAGAGAAATTTCATTGTGATTTCATAATTAATAATAAAAAAAATCAGACAATCAAATTTCTTTATATTAATTTTTATTTATAGATCTCACGGCACGACTATCGTGGATAAATTGGGAAAATCTCGGCGTTAATCCAAATCGACGATCGGTACTGACCACCCTCGCCCTCACTACGGACAACATGAATTAAAGTCAAGTCTATTCGTCAAGTTGTTCTCTTTCTTTGTAAATACTTTCAAGCTGGAATAGAGTGCCAAAGATTTCGTATATTAAGTTCTAGTCTACGTGCAATACGAGTAACGATATGTATTTCGTATTTATTGTATAGGGAGCCTAGCGTTAGTTAGTACGAAATAGTATTTTATTTGGAATAAGACAGAGATTCCTGAAGCTGTGAGCATTGCATATGAATATTGCCGTGTGTTTAATTGGATACGCGTGAAAGCACAATAAACATATATTGATTAATTACAATGTCATTCATATATTTCAAATCCTGTAGAATTAACGTTATATTATATGATATGCCGAGTGGCCACCAGATGGTGCTGCCACCCATGAAGAATTAATGGACGGCGGGACACAAACAATCGAGATACAAAAGAGGTGTAATGTCCGACAGGTACTTCGTTCAATTGGTTTTGGCTACCTTTATGATAACTAGAATCAAATATTCTCCAGGGAGATACTCATACTCGCAACTAATCATCCAATACAGTCAGATATTGTAAGAATTTTCTTGTACATCGTCTCTGAGGTAATATATTCCTGCTATTAGTTTAGGTAAATCCGTCAGGTATACTCGTCGAGTGGAATAATAAATGGCGAACGATCAAGAGAACCATACGAATATTGTGAGCCATACTTCCTTAGAAATCGACGAAGATATCAGCGTTATCGCAATCATTAAGCGAGATACATTGTCTGGAACGTCGAAGAAAATCAAATCTACCTGCATGAATGCGATAAGCAGCGAAGACAAAGCCGAGATGATCTTGATGGATAAACCAGTAAAGCAACAGAGAAAGAGTGCCAACCTAGAGAATACTCAAGTGATCGAATTGAGCGATAAAAATTCTAAAATGAAATTGCGGAAGCAATTCAAAGTCGAGATGAACAGTCCAGAAACGTCAGAAACAATTCAGCACTTATCTGGGAGCAGTATCAGCGAGAATTTGGATATTTTGGAAAAGTTGCCACCAGGAACGATAATTATTAAACAGGAGAGTAATAAAAGTTTTAAAGAAGACGGCGAATATATTCATGAATCTTCCAAGGATTCTACTGAGACTAACAGCAGCTGCGGTAGCAGCACGTCTGGAGCGGCTGAAAAATCAAAGAGAATGCATCGAGCACGCAGGACGAAAAAGTATACACTTAAAGATATTATTAAATCACCATAACATAATATTTGTGTATTTATTCTCAGAACTGTCGAAGTACGTCGGAATCCTATGCGTGGCTCTAAGAAGAACGTGGACAAGGATTTCCCACGACCAAGACAGAGACTCTTAACAGCCAAGAGAAAGGAAAATCCTATTGAATCGGAATCAAGCAAAAGGACCAGAGGACCTACCATGCCCTATATGAATACTAGATCTGTCACGAGGAAATTATATACAGTAGGAGCCACGTATCAAGCGCCATCTATAAAGGATGAAACAGAGTGGAAAGAATGGCCGGTTCACGGGATGCACGAGAGACCGGCTTTTCATCCACAGGTAATAAATATATATTAACGTGATCAGCAGTGTTTCTAAGCACTTTTTAATGTAATATATTTTACATAGGCGGGTTTAGCTGCTGAATATATCGGTCGCTACTTTACAACTTTAGACGGACGTACTTATCGGGAAATAGTGGATCAACCTGAAATTGAAGTTGTATCAGTAGATCCGCATCCAGAAAAAATGTCATTGATGAATTCAAGGAAAAGAAGTGCAAAGGGTAAATTAAAATGTCGCGATCCTCTCAGTATCGATCCTGAAGAAGTTCCAGCGACTGTCGAAGAATCATTTGATGTATGTATGCACAATAGTCTTCATTCTGTACTTGCTTACTGTGCTCAAAAAAAAAGGCCGGCTTATCAGGAAAATATGGAAGAGAAAAATGAGGTTTTTAATAAGTCTGACCCATTGGGTGTGACGGATATGAAAAATGATGCCAATCTCGTCTCCACAAAGGAGTCTGAGGAAACTTCAAGAACAGGTATTGGTACTGCTGAAGTTAAAGAGAAGGAATATGACGTACAAGAAAAAGATTTTGAAAATTTTATTCTAAGGGATGATATGTATAAAAAGAAAATGGATAGTGTCATAGGAACGGGATGTTTTTCCAAAAAAGAAATATCCAAAGATATACCAAACGAATTAAACTTAAGGACACTGGAAGATTCAACTATAAGCGATGAAACTTTAATGGAGATGTCTTCTATTTACACGAATTTGATACCTACTGAAAGAAATATTTCGACTGTTGACAATTCCTTAAGCAGAAACACAGTTCTTACAAAGCGTGTACTAAAACCTATTTTTTTAAATAATCCAAATCAATCAGCAATTGCCATAGATCTTTCTCTTAATTCTCAAAGACGTCTAGAGAGCCATAAGGTTCCTGCTTCGTCAAAATTAATTAGCGATGGTTTTTCACTTCAATATCAGAACAGCAGTAATAAAATGATAAGGAATTACGTTCCGCCAAATTCCAGTCCCAATGTATCCTTCAATTCAAACGAAACTTCGGAAATAGCACGAATCTTATCGGATTACAATCAAAGCTTAAAGAAACCTGGCGTGGAAAGTGTTTATCAGTCATCTTCAAAAATGCTAAATGCTGAAGTCCTGCGCACAAAATTGAAACAACTTAAGACTCATTATTATCATAAAAACGTTACTGGATCAGGAAATGAGTTGATAGAATCAAAATTTCAGCAGAGAACGTCAAAAAATCGCTCTTTGGAAAATAATACCGAGTCACAAACAACAAAGTTATTGAAATTGGACGACGAAACTTTTCACAAGAAAGTGGACGTTAAACGTCCAGAAAGTAACAGTGATATGTCTGAGAATATTGATAAAACAAAAACAATAAACTCGTTGAGTCCCAAGACTGAAAGTCGTATGAAAAATAAAGAAATTAATATCAAAGATAATTACGGCATAGAACGTAAGGTAGAATGGCTCGAAGAGTTACTTGAAAATACAGCAGTGCTGTATTGTGCTGCAACCGGTGTACATCAAAACGATTTAGCCGAATACATTGATACACTGGATGGGCAACAGAGTATAAATTGGCTAGAGACACATGAGGAGTCCATATTGTAATACTATGAATTTTTCAAGGAATATGTATTAGTAGATTAATTAATTTGGAATTTATTGTATTATTATTATTATTATTATTATCATCCTTGCGCAATAAAATAGTTAATATAAAACGACAACGTTAATATAACGACAATATTTTCAGTAATTTAATCATTCAAAAGTATTTCTCCATATATATGATCCAAATGATTCACAAATACATTTATAGTTCTGTTTCTTTAATGAGTAAATTGTCAAAGAATAGTGACGCATGCAGTGTCAGGGTTTCAGCGATCCTGATGCATTTTTTTCTGACTCACCGTTGTATTATTTTAAATAGACATCGACAGTATCCAGTAAACCGACTTATCGAATATAATAAAAAACATTGAAAATTCAATGACAACAGTGCATTGCATTCTGCGCATTCCCAGTGTATACTTACAAAAGAAAGAAAGGCATCGCCGAAGCTAACCTCAAAAAAATTCCAATCAAATATTGTAGAAATGCTCAAATACATTGTTCCGATTTGTCGAAGCATTCTATAATACTTATATCTTTCTAAGATTATCTCTATATACTTCATATGTACGACATCAAGGCATGACGTCTTCCTTGGAACGATATAAATACAACGTACAGTGTACAAAACGACCACCAAACTGATTCACATACTTTTCGCGCGAAATACGATCACTATAGACTCATCATAAAAACATCGTTCTATAGGCAGCACTGATAAGAAAAATTTGCATAAAAGAATCGCCGTTTCTTCGTAGCGAGGACCATCCCGTCGTTGATACCTGCGTGTATAAATAGCATACAAACAACCAGGATCGCGAAGTACAGGAAGAAGAGCGCGATAATGCCCAGGCTTCGTTGTCATTCCCTGTTTTGTCGACGCTTACGACGTCTATACCTATATAAGTCAAATAACAATAATAATAAGAACAATGAAATAATTAGATAATAAAAAATAATGATACACCTTACCTTCTTCTTTCAGACTCAGATTCACTGCACTCGCTGACACTTTGGTTGATATCAACTTCCTCGGATGAAGATTCATCTTCCGTTTGACGCTTCGCTTTTTTTACATTACTTTTTCCCGATTCTTCGCTCTTCGACTTACCCGACGTCTTAAAACTGTCTGTAGACTTCCGTTCTTTTCTCTCCGAAGATTTCTTCTCCGACTTCCGTTTCTGCCTCTCATCCTCGCTAGAGACTTCCCGTTTGGAGTCTACGCGAGATGATCTCTTCTTGTTCTCACGCTTTTGGACCCGATCTTGCTTCGACGAATTTCGGGAACTCGATGTAGAGTATCCAGTATCCTGCCTGGTTCTTCTAAAATTTAAAAACAGTACAAAGGATATGATGAGTAAACAATATTTCAAAACTCTCATACCGTTTACTCCGTTCCACGTTTCTGGGTGAAAGGTCATATCTGTCCATATCTTCTGTCGAATATTCGCTATCTGATAAATTCGCCTCGGCATCTCGATCTTTACGTTTTTTCTTCTTCTTCTCCTCCTGGTATCTTTTGCCACGTACGTCCTTGCACATATCGCCTCTTGAGATGATACTAATATTTGTCATTTCGTATCTCTCGCCTTTACTCTTTTTACGCTTGTTCTTACTCTCACTCTGCACTACGTACAGTCTGTACAACTGTAGAAGTATTACCAGGGTGTTCTTGCACGTGAAAAAGATATTCATATAGCTGACTATTTGATAGTGAACTATGAGTATGAGTCTGAACGCAAGAAATGGACCATCCTGTAAAAAGAGAGAATATTATTTAATAATTATTTTTTTCAAAGATATTGTCAAATCCGTAACTTACTTGAAGAACCATATTTAAAGCTATTCCCCATACGTCGATGCTGCAGCAACTTGTTTCTGATGGAACTTTCCTCTTGATTGCACTTCCGGATGATAATCGAGATTTCCTTGACTTCGTTGCTGTCAATACTACTGTGAATTGCATCAGTGACCATGCCCAAATTCCTAAGGTTAGGTACACTAAGACTGGTTCCTGTGCGATTTTGTCTTCTTTGAAGGAATCGAAGAATTCAATTATGTCAGCTGCAGTACCGATGTAAACCAATAGTAATTGACTTAATTGATCTCGAGTCAATTCACCCTTAGGTAACATCCATCGTCCGATTATTAATATAAGCATTAAAAATTGTTCGATTAAGGTCACCCAGGTTTCCGTTGATATTTGAATATCCGGAAGTCTTATATTGACCTAGTATCATATATAATGTAGGATACTTTTAGCACGATTATATGTATAATTTTAGTATTCAAATTGAAATGCAATATTAATCATACTCACGCCCAGTGCTTTTTCCAAACTTCTTAGATCAGCTCCAGCCAAGTTTGTCAGATTTAAATTTTCTGAAATATTTATATTTGACTCACGCATTCTCATTCTTCTATCGACCTTGTCCAATTCCAACAACCAAATAGCAGGTACCACACTGCCCAGGTATAAAAAGACAGACGGACAAAACCTAAAATTGTATATGCCTAATTATATGTATATGATTTTCAGATCTATTATATCCTAAATGTGCTCCAGTTATAAGAATGTCTTTTATGAGGTCAATATTTTTTTGACCTATTTCCACGAGGGCATGGTCGATATAAAGTATATTCTCTCGCTATCCAAGGATAGCTAATGCCCAATTTCCGTCTGTCAAATCTCGACGCTCACACAAAAACACATCCTCATTCAAGGGGCGGTCTTCGTAGCACTATAAAATGTTATGCTCTGGAAAATTGGCTTGTTAGGTGTTCCTTAGAAGATAAAATTCTCCAGCTCAAAGCGATTTACTGAGCGTAACAACTAACAGATACTATGTAATTGAACTGCTTTTTAGAAAAACGAATTTTCCATATTTTCAAAAGCACTTACATTAGTCAGTACCGCATTAAAATTTTTTACAGATCTAAATTCATAAATTTTTTTCACTTATCAAACGCAGTGGTTAGAAGTTTAAATAAATATCTAGCTAATGCAACTTGTTAATCTAATACATAACTGTTACAATCGTTACGTTATTTTCATATTATTATATAGCAATTATCTAGAGTTCGAATAAATGTAAAATACGTTTATTGAGTCACCTTAGGATAACTTACCATTTCCATTCTTGATTTTGCTTTATAGTAAGCGTGAAGATACCCTCGAAAAAGAGTAACAATATTGGACAGCTTAGATACCAGTAAAGTGGATTTCTTTTGAATGTTGTCACCTGCCAAATGGCAATGAAACCATGTGCAGCGAAAACCAATCGTGTAATTATGGCTTTTACAGTTGCAATAAACTTAGCCATTGTTGGAAAGTTGTTAAAATACTTGGCGCGGTTGCATGTCACATTACCACTTTTAAAAGTAACAAGCCTCAACGCATAGTTCAGTGTAATTTGTTCACAGTACACCCTTGCATTATTATATGAATCATAACACTTAAAAAAATAGATACATCGATGAAATCAACGCAGAAACATTTTCTCCGCGAGAATAGCAAGTACACGAACTGCAGAAGAAGCAGTCAGAATAGGGACAGAAATGTCCTGCGCGTTTCTAAGCTTTCAAATAGTCGCGCGGGCGTACTGTGCTAAGCTCACTAGCATAATGACACACAGACACGTCTAATTTATATAGCAGTGAAATCAACTGTCAATCAATTAGATTTTTAGAAGCAATAGAAGCTGTAAGTAATGTAGATGAGACCTACGTTAAATCATGTCTGTTATATTTTCGATATATGATACTGCATATCGCCGTACTATAACAGTACGGTGTAATCAAGCTGTTTACAAAGTGCCATTTCAACATGCACTGGTGTATAAATGAGTCCTCTAAAAATTAATCTTAGGCATTTCCAAATGACGATAGTCGGACGAGAAAACTTTAAATACGGTTATAACTCGAATTTGATAAAAGTCCAAAATATCAGACCTGAAAACGCCCCTTGTAATATAATAAGCGTAAGTATTAACGTCACAAAATGAATCAAATATCTATGATAGACCGTAATATCAGCAGATGGTTATTTTGCGCAGATTTAAAAAAAAATGTAATAATATGAGAGTAGATATTTCGTTTTTATACTTATCAATAATTTTATTCAATGGTTAAATTGCTCAAATACACCTTATTGCCTAATAATTCATATAAAAACACAAACTTAAAAGTAGCATGAATCTTAACGCGAAGTTATGTTGTTATCTGCGTACAATGGTAAACGTAGTTATTTTCGCATGATATACCCTAATCAATTATTGTCTTTTGATTACACGAGAGGATAACTTGCGGAACTGGCAATACCGCAGTTGTTATCCTTATTTCTTGCCATCTTGATGTAACCACGGTCGCCCCACGTAGGTCCCCAACTGTTCTTCACGAGCCAATACTCATCACCATTCTCCTCAGTTCCATAGCCAACAACCAGTACACCATGGTCCAGGTCCGTGGATGAGCAATCGGGTTCATAATAGACACCTATAATGTAAATAAATGTTTAATGTATATTGTTTTGTTTATATATTTTAACATGATTGTCATACGCGGAACTAACCTGAGGAGTAAAATTGGAAGGATTGATGAGATGCGTCAATGGCAACCGATAGAGGTCCGACAGTAGCAACAGCAGCCAACAATTTTTTCTCATTTCCTTCAGGAATATCTACAAATCCTACGTCTTCAGCTCCACTGTTGCGGGGGTTGTATCTGTGAATTGTTTGTTTATAGTTACGTCATAGTTTATTGGAGTAGTGATATTGCTAAAAATAATTATGATGACTTTATTCTTTTACCGGCATTTGTCGTCCTCGGCTTCATAAGGATAAGTCTTTTCAGTATCGACACCTTTGTTATCCTTAATGTACTGGAAAGCTTGATCCATAAGACCTCCGTTGCATCCATTGTTTCCATATTTGCCAGAACAATCAATTAAATTTTGTTCACTGAGAGACACGAGTACTCCTGTTTGCCTAAAGTGCTGTCCTTCCAGGGCTCCGGTCTATAAGCATATTATTTCAGTTCATACTGAATTTTATTGATTATAATTAAAAATACAAAAGAACCGCGAAATACTAACACTTGAAAATGCCCAGCAAGATCCGCACTGCCCTTGATCTTTAACAGAAGTTACAGCACCTTTCTCTCTCCAGTCAACGGCAACTGGAAATTCAACATTTGCTGGCTCTATGAATTTAGCACCAACTGGTTTTGGAACAGATCGTAACTGCAGATTTCCTGTCTTGTTGAATCCATTCAGCGTGCTAACGAATTCGTGATGAAGCTGAAATTAAAAGATAATCTTGTAAATGCAACCTGATAGGCTTCCCTTGAAATATAAGTCACCAAACTATGTCGTTATACAGGAAACTGTATGTGCATGCTTGTTATTTAATATTTTCATAAGTAGTTTAGCAGAATATAGCTGGAATAGTAGAGTTGCTATAGAGTGGTACTTACCATATCTCCGTATTTGTTCAGCTTGAGTTTGTACGATACTAAACCCATTTCATATTTTGCATTGTGTTTTGCAATTTTATGTCTATTTTCCATAAAGATTTTCATCCTGAATTTTTCTTCGACATCACTTTGATACTTCTTCTTATGCTCAATCTGTAATATTTCTTTTATATTAACTCATCCAGGTCAATACAAAAATATTTTAAAAAACAGGGGATAGATAAATAAGCATCACGTAATTATCAATAGAAAAAATAACATTCAAGAAGTAATAAAATATATCTTAAAGAATGTTTTGACATTATAAACATATTTGAATCTTATAATAACAGATCTATTATCTATATAAAATATCTGATAACGTGTTTATAAAAAAAAAATAATTTATCTTTGTTATCATGTTTGTGATATCATTGGTCAATTTGCAATAACGAAGTCGTGACTGTCTTAGACCGAAACGGAATTAAAAATTAAAATATTATAATGAATTACCTTGTAGGTATCCCACTCCTCCAAAACAAGGTCAAAGAAGGAAACTGCCTGCGTGACAGCTATCACTACAGCAAGTATGAAAAGGATAACCTTCATGGTTACAAGAATTTAACTGTAAAAGAAAAATCATATGGAACATATCAAAGGACAGTTACAAAACACTTGTTCATCCTAAATAACTACTGTTACTAAATACTGTTTCTTTTCTACAGCTACAGTATTTCTGATGCAATAATATGGAAAATAATCTTTCCCTAGCTTCAACTTCGTTTTTTCTTTTCTTTCTTTGTCACCATATCCCTGAGTGGGGTATGTGCAAGTCTTAATTTCAATGACATATTCTTGCTCTAACTCGAGCATAACATAAATTCATGTATAACCTTAAACGCATTGAACACGAATGAAATATTTAACTAGACAAATGAAATCCAATTCATTAATTTCATAGATCAAGATGACTTATCAATCCACGAAAATAATATATATTTAACGCGAAGTATCTTTTGTTCACTTATGACGTACAACAGACTGATGACACATCGATTACAAAACAAAGAAACAAGCCTCAAATTTTTGTAAAATCCCAAAGAACATAATAGCAACACACAACGCGTTTCTCTCATACAAAACGTAGTATAACATAACGCGACATAACGGCATATAAATATTTTCAAAAAATCATCTACCTCAGCCTATTTCTAACAATGATATAACGGAAAGTAGACTATTGCGTCGCAACACAATATGGAGTTCGACCATGAACTTTACGTCTGATCGTCAGCAAACATAAATTTGACTAACAAATAGTATTCCAGAAGTATACAAAGGATGACTTACCCAATTACTAATACCCAATCAACTTAATGCGCTAAGGCAAGATGCAGACTGCAAGAAGGTTCCCGTACTAATGAATAGTAAATGACTGCGTTACTCGTATATCCATCCACAAGTGACACCACGTGATCAAAGAGAAGTGGGTTCATCATTGGTGATCCATAGAATTTTATCTGATCACGTGAGGTATCCTTTTATTTTGTTTGTATGATTTCATCAGTCATCATCATACGCCTGTCGAGTCATATTGGCGATAAATAAACAACGCCTTTATCAATTGACATTTCCATAGCCAGTACATAAGCCTGTAAATTGCTCGAAAATATTGGTCAAGTAGAAAACTCATTCTGCATCTATTAATTAAATGAGCTACTATAGCTATTTCTTAGTATTAAGATTAATTATGTAACCCGCTAGCCAAAGAAAAGGCCTAACGGGGGATGCGAGACAAGGGATCTTTCAAAGGGTTTTTATCGAACGTAGTGTTATGCAGTGGCGAACTATATCGTTATAGGCTTAGTTTCCAGCGTGCAAGGTTGAAATAGAGTTACCAATCAAGTTAGCTTATTCTGCTCAAATCTCGTTTTTAATTGGTTAACTCTATTTCAACCCTGCACGGTGGAAACTAAGCCATAGTTTCAATACGACATATAAGATTCCGCCGCTATGACTTCATGAACGGATTTTGTTAGTTAAGGAACCAGTATAGAACAGACAATCTTTTATTTTAGTTTCAATACGACATATAAGATTAATCAAGTTAGCTTATTCTGCTCAAATCTCGTTTTTAATTGGTTAACTCTATTTCAACCCTGCACGGTGGAAACTAAGCCATAGTTTCAATACGACATATAAGATTCCGCCGCTATGACTTCATGAACGGATTTTGTTAGTTAAGGAACCAGTATAGAACAGACAATCTTTTATTTTACTCTCTGGAAGACCTTTTCTTACAAATGCTCGACTGAAACTGTCCTTGATACTACATTTTTTAATAACGTAAACTTAGTCTAACGGGAACGAGGAACTTTGGACAGGAAGGGAGGGTTTTTTATGTAGTTGGGAAATTTCTATTTTAAAACGCAGGGAAAAAGGATTTGTATATTTTGGGGATTAAGGATAGTTTTATGATAGGGAAAGTCTAGGGAATTTCCAGGGTAACAATTCCGTAATGGCTATATGAGCCGTTCAGTGCACACATCGAATAACTCCATAAAACAAAAAGTTGAGAAATGCGATGAAGTAATGTATATTGTAAATTACTTATTATTCAATGGCCAAAAAAATTGTGCCGTTTAATGGTGCTAATCTTTATTATTCAGGAAAGTTATTATAAATATAAAAAGTTATGACTATACCAAGTGCTTTGACACTTAAATTTAAGATTTTTCAAAAAGTGGAGTTAATCGATGTGTGCACTGAGCGGCTCATATTATAATAGAGGGGCATAACAGTAGTCACAGGCGAGAGGAGATGATTTTAAAGAGGCAGTCTCAATTTGGAGTCGAATACATAAATATTACTGATGTGGTCGCCGTGTGGATTCGTTTATACATGTCTTCTTCTACGTTCTGATTCACATTCATATTATTCTAATAAACCTACAAGAGCACCTGCAAACCCACCCTTCTAATGAGTTCTTTGAATCCTGTTTGGCCTTCGTGCTAAGGCCCCACCCGGACATGCATATTACTTTTGCATTCTTATAGCACTGCTTATCGAATTACTCAGAACTGTCAATATTTTAACATTTGTAGATTGTGCATTTCAAGTGATACACAGTTTACAATGAATTTTATTTTATGCCATGGGTCAAGTTACATGCAAAATAATCTTATTGCCTTGCATTGCATTATTAAGACTTGGAACTTTGTATGACCTACAATAGGATTATAACTACGTATGTCGCAAGGGGTTTTGTTTGTTTCCTTTTTTCGCTAGGAAATAGAACACTGGTTAAAGTCGATATGTCTTTGATTTTTACTTATTATCAGAAGTTTTAAGATAATTAAAGCAATTCAGAGCAAATCGATACGTAGGCGGACCTCTCTGTCATGTTGTAGACATATGTATACCAGTTTAATCTAATAAAACGTTTCATAAGAGCTTCAAATTGATTTCGATATTACATCTCTGCGTTTCTTGTAATTGGGATTTTCGTCAGTCTTTCATATTATATTTATTGACAGACAGTGAAGAGACATGAGATTATTTTTCTTTAAAATATTGTTCTTGTTACAAACAAATAAATGAACTGACGTACAATGATATGGCTTACTGATTTTTGGAATAGATCCTACTTATATACTAGTTTCTAAATTTATAATACTTAAAATGGCCAAATAGTTGGTAACATCGAACTTATACTCCTGGAAGAAGAATGGTGCAGTTAAAAGTGGCCCCAACATGTTGAAACAGAGATATATCTCTTTCTCACTTCGTAATGTCCAGTTCCCCTTACTGCGCAAGTGCGCAATTTTACTGACCTAAGAAAACCTAACCAACCTAATGCGAAACCCGAGTACATGAAGACTGGAGGAATTCAATTGGAAGCAACCGTTGTTATGATGTAGTGCACGCGTGCACAATGAGAGGAACTGAATGTTGCGAACAAAAAGAGAGATATATCTCTGTCTCTACATGTTGGAGCCACTTTCCACTCATTGCTAGAGTAGGCTATTTTCCTTCCAGGAGTATAAGTTCTATGGTTGGTGAGGCTGCTTTTCATTATGGCGGATTCTTAGCCAATTGTAACTGATTGTACCAAAATGGCAGGTCGTGATCAATACGATATTACTCCTAGAAACCGGGAAATTCTCGAATTTCGAGCTTCACGACGGAATGCTTTGCGTCAAGAGTTTTTAAAAGAGACTCTGAATCCGCACAGACATGCAAGTGGTATAGGAGGCGCGGTTGTAAGTATTTTGGAATTCTAACCTAAATTGCGTCTTTTCATTAAGTTCTGTGCACAAAAAATATTCTAATAGATATTAGCAAAAGACTTTTGGTAAATTTTAAATTATTTCAAATTATTTGTTGCAATAAATACATCTAATAATTGAATATTGAAAAAACTTGCTTCATTATGTAATAGCCACTATATTGATGTAAAAATTAATTGATTGACAATGTTTTTGTGGCATTATAATGATTCTTCTTGTTCATTACGAATGTGCATAACATATTAAAGGCAAATTTGTACTTTAAGATATATAACATTTTTTTCACAGTTCGATCAACAACTGCAGCGGCTCTTTTCATTGGATGCTACACGTGCACAATATGTGACAGCAAAAGGAAAAAATTTTGCGCAATTTGCTGCTCTAACTCTATTTCCAATAGTATCAATTATCCTTGTGATAAACAAAGTCAGGGTATGTTATATATAATGTTTTACAAGTTGTTATGTTTAATTTATATCTGTTTTCTGTCATTAAAAATATGTCATATAGTTAAAGATACTATTAAGTATATATTTAACATTTGTTTCAATTTGAATAGAGCGTGGAATACAGTTGGATTTTTTGTTTGTCCTTATAGCGTGACAAGGAGACCGAAATACGAACAGGCAAAATTAGCTACAGAGATAGACACGTCAAATTTGTATAAATCATGGAAAACTTATATCTGTCATAGTGAGAATAATATGTAATTAGGAAAACATTAATAAAGCATATGAAGTATAAACATTTTTGTTAGTGTCTTCTGTCTATTGCCATAGTTTACTTCTCAGTTCATGAATGTTGTGAGTACAAAGGGATCTTTCTACTATCATTTTATTTCTTAACATATGTAGTGTATATCCAATAGTTTTTGACTTAACAGTGCTGTAAAAATAAAAGCGATCCTGAATTGAATTTCATGAGCCCTTTGTGTCTACTATTCCAAATATGTTTATGAAACAGAAAAATAAATATATTTTTATACAATTTACTTTTTTCGAATTAATTAAACTGAGTGTTTAATTATTTAAGAAGTGGCTTTCTTTAAATAAAGTATTTTATGATAGATATTTTGAAATATTTATTATATGGTGCTTCTTTCACTATCGATCTTCGAGTTGCTTGTCTCGAGCAACGACAGCATCATCAAATTTAACCATGTATGTTGTACCTTTATGCCAATGAGCTGTTACTTTTGCAGGCTAAAAAGGAATAACAGATTGCATATTGATTTCATGTATTTCAATAGTATAACTGTTCTTTAAAAAAAAACATACAGAACTTCATATATATTTTTCACATAACATACTTACAAATCCAAAATCACAAAGTACAGCTTCAACAATTCCTGCTACAAAAGATGCACAATTTAGGCTTCCTTTGTCTTTTGGGACTGAAACAAATTTATTAACCAGTGCTTCTTTTTCTATAATATAGTAAGTACGCTCATCATCATTGGCATGCTCTAACTTATCTGCCTCTCGACCAAACAGACATTTCCAAAGTGTGCTTTTAATAAACAGTAAAGCATTCAATAATTTTATTTCACGCTTGCCACTTTTTTCACGGACGATAAGTAGATCTGTAATTCTGTGTCCAACTTCCGTGCCCATTTCAGCTAATCTACAGTAGAATATTTGTATTATAAAATTACAATAAATTTTAGTTCCATTCCAGTATTCAGTAATATTACTTTATAATGACTCATCACCCACTTGTTTTGCAGTTCTGGTACAGTGTAAACACGATTTTGACAGTACTGCACAAGTTCAGAAAACAGAAGAGCATAACAACTTAGGCTAACCTCTCCTTTGCCTTTGCTTAGTGATTTATCTAGTATGCTCGTACGAGGACGTATCGCTGATATCGTTATACTTGTCATGTTTAGAACTAACAAATTGGGAAATAACTATTAATTTTTTTATAACTTATAGTATAAGTTATAAACTTGACGAGTTACATTCGTATGATTTTAGTTCAAGCACTGAACTCTAACCACACAGTGGTTCAAGACAAACTCCATATTTGGCATTTGACAGACCGAAGATATTAAAGTTCCTAGCACACGAAATCGATTTTAGTGATTCAAGTAGAATAAATTCGCGCATACACACTGCAAGGTTCAATTTGAACTGGACCAATCCATGCCAAGTTTTTAAAAATGAATTGTTTGAAAATCTGAAGGTAGAATAAAATTTTCTTGATTTCCATTTTTACTGAATAATTGCTGCAACGTGGAGAAAAAGCAATAATGCCGTAATCCAATTTGGTAATAACAATTTCTCATAATAAAACGATGAATAAAAAATAGTTTCAGTTTCGGAGTACGCGTATATAAGATCACAATTAATAATCAATTGAGGAAAGATTCTATATTCATTTTTTGACATTTATTCTCAATGTAAAAATATCTCGTACACTCTTCTTGTACTTCATGTAAAGTTACAAACCCCATTAAAATATTCATATGAATAAAAATCTTTTAGCGTTCAGTTATCATTGTACTTTGCTATAATCAGTGATCATCTCAAATCCTTTCCCATAAACGCATAAAAGTGTATCACCATTCCTATAAGACAATTTAATATAATTTTAAAATAAATATTTGTGTTTGAAGAATATGCCATTTGAATTTTAAACTGAAATTTACCTATTAGTGTTGCATAAGGTCAATCCTTGTACATCTGGGATCATTGTTAATATTGTGCTTTGTTCTCTTACCAATAAATTCTGTTTATCAAATGAATAAACTAGAGATATTATTTTTTGATCTGTGCCAGAACTATAAAGTTTATTTGTTCCATGAAATTTCAATCCTGCAAAAGTTATTTTAACGTAGATGATATTGATTTTAGTTGACTAATTTATTTAACTGATAGCAATATCAGAATAAACAATTTATACCTGTGATCTGTGTTGAATGTATTGAGGAAGAATTCCACTTGGAAATTATTTTTGCAGATAACTCACCATTGGGCAAGTTGAATACTTCAACAACGATTAGATTAAGTGCGTTATCATCACCACCAGTCGTTAAAAGATAAACATTCTCTGTAGAAATCTTAAAGTCAAAACTATTTATCCCTGACTGATGTAATTTAAAACTTGCAAATGGTGTTATATTTTGAGAGTTATCAAGATAATTTTTATATGTATTATCAACCACTTGTGTAAGCAGTGGGCTTAGATACCAAAAGTTAATTATGCCATCTGTGGCCATAGTTAAAACAATTATTTTTTCTCGATGAGTGAATGAGTGTACTTTTAAAAGGCAGCGATTATACCGTATAGACGTTCCTAGAAGTATTGCGTCAGTGATAATATTATATATGAATATCCTGGAATGAAAGTGATTCTTTATAAACTGCTAAAATTAGGTCATCAATAATAGATTACATAAAAATATTCGATTATTGTCAGACATTGAAAGTTCACCTCAAATATCCATCAGAACAGGCCACAAATAGGAATACTTGCTCCTTGTCCACTGGATCTTGATAAGCACTAATATCCATATAACGTGTCTCAGGATCTACATAGTATTGCTGAGATTGAACAGATTTTCTACGCTGCTGATCAGTACCCCATAACATATGGGACATTAATTGCACGCAACTTATGTCTTCACTGCCTAAGACTTCCCTATTCAGTCTTACAGTAATTTCTGAAATTCTTAATTGGGCTCTGCCTCCACCAGAAAATATTAAGTTTCTGCTGAACATATTTGTATTCTTTGTGTTTAAAATTGCTATAGATTTAACACTAGATATATGACCATCTAATACATCAAGTGTATTGAAATCACAAATAGCATTATCTGACGTAGATTCTGTCATGGAAAATATGCGTAGGGTGCAGTCCTCGCCCCCAGAAATAAAAATATTATGATCAGAATTACTCAGTAGTCTCTGAACTGAATATATTTCTTTTGCGTGGAAGCCATTCTGTAATTGATTAAAGAATACGGTATGTACGGCATACGGTTGGTTGATGTTTCACATATATTACGTACTTGTAAAATAGGTAGAAATTCTGAGTGCAGAGAACGATTGACTAGATAAACTTGTTTATCGCGTATATAAATGAATTTTATACAACCATTAGCCAATTTACAGTCCCATGATCTGTGTCCACCACCACATGAAATTCGCAATAATATACGTCGAAGTACCATACTATATATTATAAATTCCACCTAGAACACATTAGAATTATTTTTATTATAAATAGCATATAGCATATATATTTGTGAGAACAATACCTCTTTAAAACCCAAGACGAATGTATCAGTGTCAGTTTTTAAAGTATTGCTGACCCAATCCATTGGCATTCTTTTTTCACAAAGAACTCGCAGTGACATATCACCATCAGACTTTAGCAATTCGTAAAATCTTAATGTGCCATCACGACCTGCAGATATTAAATTTGTGCCTATGATTGCACAAGATTGAACCCCAAGACTTCCATGAATTTTGGGAAAGGTTTGCACCGGTTCTCTCGCGTATGTACTCTTGCATGCAGTTTTTGTACAATTTAATGTACTTTCTACTGTTTTAAATATATATATACTTCCTGCTCTGTCACCGCATATCATTAAGCTTTTGTACATAACAGCAGCGGTTATTTGACAATCACGACTGGGAGGTAAAATGTGCTCAGTTTGAGAGACAATTTCTGTAAATACAAATGTACAAAATCCAAAGTAAAAAAGATAACTTTGTTAACTCTATCGAGTATTATCAATACTAAAATATTTACCATTAGATGAGATTTCTATTATCTTCAAATTTCCCTTTACTCCACAAAGTAGTAAAGTATTGTTACTCAACCACCGCATGGAAAATATTTTGGAGTCCATCACTTTTTTTTCTACGATTTGTTTTAATTGCACATCGTCCCCTTCAATGATCTCTTAAAATTAATTTATTTTAATTCTTATTAAAACATGAAGTCGAATAGCGAATGATATATAAATTATATCATGAAAGTACCTTTATGTAAATTTAAAAATCCATCCTTGGAAGCTAAAGCTACATATTCTCGGGATGGTGATAATTGCATGACACAATAGCTAGAATATTTTGGCACATTAATAAATTGCCGGGGATAATCATCTGCTTTGTTCCTATATAGCAACATTCTTCCTTCAATAAAAATTAAAATAGTGCCGCTATTTAAAAAACCAACATGTTTGGGAATTCTTGTTTTATCGTATTTTAATACAATGTCAACCTCGACATTGTTATGCTCAAGAGGCCACTGATAAATGGCTCCGTCTCCACCGCCCGTGATTATTGTATTATTGTCTTCTGTTATATCAATGCTCCAAATACAAGCACCAGGATGTGCTTCAATTTTGTTTAATAACTTGCCATCAGTCGACCATACGCAAATCAGGGAATCCTTGCAACGAAATATCTCTGTTGTATAAATCTTGATCAATATCTTCTTAGTTAATAAAAAAAAGAAAACGTCGTACTTGTCCTATGCTGACAACAATATTTTCTCTGACTACAGCTCTCCATACTTTATCATTATGACCATACATTGTCGTCGTTAAAGTAATTTCTACGCTTTTCCAATTAATAAAATGTTCTTTGGATGTTGTTTTGACTTTCCATAAAGTAATGGTCCTATCATCCGATGTGCAACATATAGTTTTTGTAAAAGCATCATACGTTACAGAGGATATGACACCCTGTTTGAAATAAATATTAAAATTATTACATAGATTAGATTGTTTGGTAAATCTGCAAAATTGTACAAACGCTGTAAAATAATTTAAATACTAACGTTGTGACCTTTCAAACGTTGTAAAACTGATGCACGAGTCTTACTATCTTCGTTACAGCTTCTTATTGTCCATATTAAAGTTTCGCTGAATAAAGTACCACTAAAAATGACTAAATCTTCAATGCACGTGCCTGATATAGATCCACCATATCTAATTATTGTGATAGAAAATTCAAGATTGTGGAAATCATTGGAAAGAATAATAAAACCATTAACTATTAAAGGATACAGAATACATCTTTCTACACACTTTACATCTTTGTAATGTTTTTCAAATACATTGAAAACATACAAATTATTATGTGCAAATAAAACAGATATCACATCATTAGTCTTTTGAAGCCAATTTACTGAAATTATCCAATCCATAAATCGATGAGTCTCAAATAGTTGGGCGATCCTAAAAAATTTATTTAGTACTATTGAATTTAATTTTAAACCCATAACAGAAGTAATGTTCCATGAATAAACGTTGTAAAAACTAGTTTGGATTTTTACATTCATTAGAATTACTTCGACTTACTGTATAGTATCATTGTGTATTATAAAATCATATGTGCATAAAGTTTTAGCACCGTAAACAGCTATCCTATTACATAGACCTTTGGTAATACCATGTATCTTATCTGGATATGTTGCATTAATCGTTTCCTTCAATTCACCACTAAATCTGCTGTATATATGTAGAGTACATCCAATTCCTGTAAACAATGAATGAGATAGAAAATGAATATTTTTTAAAATTTCATATGAAATGTGTTTAAAGTAACCTGCTAAAATGTAATCTTCTAAACAAAGCACAGCAAGAACGTCTGTACTTATGAATTTTGAAATCATTTTTTATACGTTCATGCGTCTACATATATTAAACAAAATATAAGTGAACATGACAATTTTCAAGAGACTTTTGGTCATCTGTTCACTTCTAATCGTGAAGAAATTATTTGAAACAACACGCGCGTGAAGATAGGGAAGGGCTGCTCGGTAGAAGGAAATATGGAGCTCTAGGTGTTTTTTTCTTCAAATTAATTTGCAACAATTCCTAAACAATATTTTTTCATCGAATTTTTAGTGATTATCACCAATCGAAGTGGATTGCGAAAAAAATAATCAGAAAGAAATCAGCTGTTTAGCCATAGCGAATTAATGGCGTTTTGACTTTTTGATATGCAATATTTTTAAAGAATTGGCAACAATCGATGATTTTGGAACTCATACACTGCAAATGATTTAAGTAATTTGTAGGAGATTCATTCCATAATCATAGCTATACGGAACAGAAAAATATTTAATTAGGAAATTAATTCATTATGGAGCAACGCAGAGCCTGGCAAGCTGTTAGTTAATGGCACATGGTTTTCTTGTTTATAAAATACGGATTGAAAAACATTACTGGATGTGTGAATAGAAAAGTATTTGTTTCTTGTATAATGCCAAAGAGATTCCTACAAGGTCCACCGAAGAAGAAATTGAAATTGAATCATAATTCATTGAAGATGTCAAAAACCGAAATTGCAACGAGGGACGTTAACCCTAATCACGGTGGTAAAATCCAAAATGAGATTCTAAAGAATGAACTTGGACAGCAAAATCACAATGTGAAAATAGAATATCTTGATACTCCCGTGAAATCGGAAAATGATAAAAAGGAGTACAGGTATGTATATTTATCCTTGTTATAATGTTAACATTTACATTATAATGTTTTACAAATTAGAGTATTTTATATTACAACAGCTTTATCATGCTTTTATTTCTTGTTCATATTAGAGTTATTAAATTGGAAAATGGATTGACAGCATTGTTAATAGCTGATATGCACTCTACTGCCTGCGATGCAGATGCGGATGATGATGATGATAGTATGTACATAGATAACTAATTAGAATTAATTTATAATTAAATATTTAATATGAATTTGAAATAATTCATCTGATTATGTATAGCAGTTGACGAAACAGAAAGCGAGGATGAGGAGGAAGAAGAAGAAGATGAAAATGTTGACGAGGATGGTAGAGCCGACAATGATGATATTGATTCATCAGGAATTAAACACACTAAGAGAGAACAAAAAATAGTATATCATCAAAAAGTTTTTTTTTTAAATTAGATATAACCATTGTTCTTATACATAATTTCATTAGTCAATTTTTATTCTTTTTAGGCAGCCTGTGGTTTGTGTGTCGGGGTTGGTAGTTTCAGTGATCCACCTGAAATTCCTGGTATGGCGCATTTTCTAGAACACATGGTATTTATGGGATCTACCAAATACCCTCAGGTGGAGTATATCATAATTTTATTTATATTTAATTATAATAATCAAATATGTCAACATATCAAACATATCAACATATCAAATATGTGCTACATTATACATTTTCTAACAACAGGAAAATGATTTTGATGCATTTATTACAAAACGAGGTGGCTCTGACAATGCTGCAACAGAATGTGAACAAACTACTTTTTATTTTGAAATTCAAGAAAAACATTTATTGGGTGCATTGGATCGTTTTGCACAATTTTTCATCAGTCCACTTATGAAAAGAGATGCCATATCAAGGGAACGAGAAGCTATAGAAAGTGGCAAGTCGGATTAAGCAATTATACAATAATTATAAGATTGTGACACTATAACAATTAACTTTTGAAATTCAGAATTTCAGATGGCCTTACCGTCAGATTTTTATCGCAAGGAACAGCTATTCAGCAGCTTAGCTCGACCTAATCATCCTGCGACAAAATTTGCATGGGGTAACTTAGTGACTTTGCGTGACAATGTCACAGATGAAAAACTGTACGCGGAGCTACATAAATTTAGAGAACGTCATTATAGTGCTCACAGAATGACCTTAGCAATTCAGGTAAAGTTAGATGCATAGAGTGTTTTATAATCATCGTGAATATTTTAAATATATAGAATTAACTGATTCCTCACCAGGCCAGATTACCTTTAGATACTTTAGAACAATACGTCAAGGATTGTTTTTCGGGAGTACCAAGTAATAGTCTACCACCTGATGACTTTACATCCTTTAAAGGAACAAGCTCCTTTGAAACACCATCTTTCAGAAGGATGTATAAAATTAAGCCAGTTAAAGACGTTTGTCAAGTAAGTCGTTATAATAGTTGATAAAATAATGAAAAGTGACAATAAAAAATCATATCCTATCTTACATTCAGATAGAATTAACTTGGACGATGCCACCTCTTCATCATTTATATAAAAGTAAACCACACCAATATGTTTCTTGGATTATCGGTCACGAAGGCAAGGGGTCCTTAATAAGTTACTTACGTAAGAAAATGTGGTGCCTCGATATATTCAGTGGTAATGGAGAAAGTGGTTTCGAGCATAGTTCTATGTATGCTTTGTTCAGTTTATCTTTGATATTAACTGATGATGGCAACAAACATTTGAAGGACGTACTAGATGCAATATTTTCATATATAAAATTAATGCAAAGAGAAGGTCCACAAAAACGAATATACGACGAAATTCATCAGATTGAAGAAACGAATTTCAGGTAAAATTGAATCAAGTAATTCCTATCTATATTTGACATATTTAAAATTTCTTAAATGTATTATATAATGGTTCGTTATATTTCAGATTTACAGATGAAGTACCCCCGGCTGATTATGTTGAAAATTTATGTGAAAATATGCATTTTTATCCTCCACTTGATTATATCACTGGGAGTGATCTTTATTTTGAATACGATCCAGAATCTATTAAGACTTGTATGAGCGTTCTCACACCAGAGGATGTGAACATCATTATTTTTGACAAAAAGTTTAACGATGAAGAATTTGACAAGGTTGAACCGTGGTTTAAAACTAAATATAGTGATACGGAAATACCCGAGGAATGGATTGAACATTGGAAGAAGATTGAACCTTTTCCAGAGTTTCACTTGCCAGAACCGAATATCTTTCTTTCTAGCGATTTTAGTTTGATACCTAAGACCGAGGATGTTCCTAAGTATCCTGTAAAAATACATAGCGATGCCGTATCTGAAATTTGGTACAGGCCCGATACGAAATTTTTATTGCCTGAATGCTACATGTATTTTTACTTTATTTCTCCTTTAGCTATGGCGTCACCGCAAAAGTAAGCTTTATAACTTCTATTTATTATCTCCAAAGCCGTGAAGTTACCTTGATATTAACATTGTGTATTATGTAAACATTACCTTTCAGTGCAGCTATGATGGATTTATTTGTTGCAATATTGAAGCACTTACTTGTTGAAGAACTATATCCAGCTAATGCAGCTGAGCTTAATTATCAAATTTATACGGGTGATAAAGGAATCATTGTCAAAGTCAATGGGTTTAATCAGAAATTACCTGTATGTATCAAACTTTACTGACTGTTTCTGCAAATAGGATATGCTACAGTATTAATGGAAGTTTAATTTTTAGCTCCTATTAACTACCATAACAAGGTATATAGCGGATTGTTCAAAATTAGTAACACAAGAATTATTTGATATGATGAGAGCCGAGCAATTGAAAGCTTATTACAATATATTCTTAAAACCCGGAAAGCTAGTCAGGTACGTAAATTTAATTATATCTTTAGAAAATCTCTGGAATCAATTGTTTGAATGAAAAATGATAAATCTTTTAGAGATGTGAGAATATCTATTCTGATGCTGGTCCATTGGACAACAGTAGACAAGCACGCAGCTATATCCAGTATAGAATTTCGCCATTTCCAAACCTTTGCAAAGCATTTCACGGATCATATATACATCCAGTGCCTGGTACAGGGAAATATGACAAAGGAAGATGTTATAAAGAATGGCCATAGCTGTGTCGAAATTTTGAAGTGCGGACCGCTGTTACCAAATACACTTCCACAGTTGAGAATTACTCAAATCCCACTGGGAGTTCACTGTTGCAGAGTGAAGAACTTTAATCCAACAGATGCGAATTCAGTTGTCACAAATTATTATCAATCTGGCATTGCATCCATTAAGTTGTCTGTGACGATTGAGCTACTTATTGTAAGTACTATCACATTCTTAATTACATGGGCAATGGACTATCGTATAAAATACGAGTTTATTTTAGTTTTTTATGTATTTTTTAAGATGCTCATGGAAGAACCTTTATTCAATCAATTAAGAACACAAGAACAGTTAGGCTATAATGTCTTTTGTTTATTGAGAAATTCATTGGGTGTACTTGGATATTCCATAACCGTGTGTACACAAGCTGACAAGTACACAACAGAGCACGTAGACGACAGAATAGAAGAATTTCTGAAGTCCTTTATAAAGATTTTGAAAAAAATGACTGAAAAGGAACTCAGCGAAGTGAAGGATGCTTTGATAAAGTTAAAACAGTGTGCAGACATTCACTTGAAAGAGGAAGTCAACAGGAATTGGAGTGAGATCAGAAGTGGTGAATATATATTCGACAGATTGGAAAGGGAAGTAGCTGCAATAAATACTATAAAAGTAGCGGAGCTCAGAAAGTGGATGGATAAGCATGTGATCAATGGAAGTAATCTGAGAAAGTTGAGTGTTCAAGTAGTAGGAACAGCTAAGAAACAATCAAATGAGACTGAAGAAGAAATCAATGTAAATGTGAATAAAGCAAACTCTACAAAAGCTAGAGAGCATAGTAAATCCCAGGAAAATCGGGCAATCAAGTCAAGTAAGTTAAATTATTGATTCAAGATGTTTTCGTATACATATCTACACAAAACACGTAATGCTTAAATTCTGCCCCACAGGAAATTCGAACATCGAATACGGCGGTGATGTTAAGTATCCACTAGAATATTTAACGGACATGCCTGATGAGAAGAAGGAGAAGGCTGCAGAATATTATATAACAGATATCGAAGATTATAAGCATAGCCTTTACGTTTATCCAATCACTCTTAAAATTTCATGACAGTGATCCCAACCTAGATTGTAACTATTTGCGAATTGTAATACTGCATGATAGTAAGAGATTGCTCAAAAAAGATAATACGGCCAATCTCGTTTGCAAATAAAATTCAACTTTTTTTGACAAGAAGTATCAAGGGGGTTTCGCATTTATTTAATTCGCTTTGAACCTACTAAAGGAAAACATAAATTAATATAAATCAATCAATAATTATTATAGAGTAAATAAAAGTCATATCAGTGTTGGGTTTTTCATAATTTTGTTTTAATTGTATTTAAGACATGACAACACGTTTCAATAAATCATTAAACTTCCGAAAATGTCAGCCAACCACATCCAAGAACCTCTCCTGCTGAGAACTTCCTTAAAAGGTTTCAAATGTTTGGTATCATGTTAATTCAACATAGCATTGTCGTGTTTAGCTTCTTTGAGCCCAACAGAGAGGATCTACGCTTCTTATCGTTCCATTTTGTATGTGTGTGTGTGTAATTACGATAGATAAGAAAAATTAAAATTAATATCTTAAAACGAAATCAACTTAAAATATCTGCCATTGGATTGACTACTCTGCCACTTTGAAATTATTTTTGTGATAACTGATCAATTGTAATTCAACAAGTTCGAGGTGTTTCCAATCCAATATCTATTTGTCCGTCATATAGAAACTATAAAGTTGTACACGGAGAAGCAGAGCAGCTGATTCCAACAATCAGATTTACAGCGAATATTAATGTAATTCGAATACGTCTAAATTGTTACAACATCCATTAAAGTGCGTTTTGCATTTATTATTTTGAATAATCATGGAATATATTGTTTTCCTTGTAGTTATTATAGAGTTGCCACTACGTTTACAATATTATTTATCCTCTACGAATCCAAATATGTAACCTGCATTTAGGGATAATTGAATGTGATGTTAATTTTTTAGAATAACATTTTTTCCCTTTTCTTTCATTTTTCGCTGCCTGGTGTTTTCGCTAACACTGATTCTCATTCTTCAACCTGTGATTGACTGATTGATAGTTTACTCCAAAATTATAATCCGAAAATTAAGAGGCGTTCAGAGTCTTTAGCATATTGTTAACATCTCCAAGCTATGGAAGCATAGAATCAGCTCTGCTTGACACTAGGCATGAACGGATACACGCTTTACAACAGTAAGTTACAAGGTAGAATAATTCAACGAGAATACATTGATGCAAATTGCGATATAAATGCGATGACCATATGAGTCGACTCTAAAGTTCCCACAACAAGGATACTTTTCTCATCCAAAACTATCACAACATTAATTTTCCAATTCGGGTTAATTCATTAGTTTTACATCGGCCTTGCAATTTACCAATGCTCTAAAATAAATTAACCATCATCGTAAACACAGATTATTTTTGCAAGATGCAGACAAATGTCTCGTATCTGACACTCGTTTTTCTTCTATAGTATAATTGAACTGTACCTTTTATCAAAATGTCCAAATGGTTACCCAACGTTATACAGTATATGATATTTTTGGCCTGGAAATTCTACATTCTTAGGAATAATGTCGTCGACTCAGATAGATCAAATTACATAATATCAACAATATCTTAGTGCATGGGATCCAGTGGAAATAAAGTATTTAGCCAATAAGTGGAAAAGCAAATTATTGCAAATCGAATGGCAATCAAAAAGCATAAAGATTTATATTTTTGGTTTCTTTTCTGATTTTTCTTTTGTTATCCTTTTTAGGAAAGTGGCACAGCGTTAACCGCGCTCTCTAATAATATTCAAAATGATTCATTTTCGATAGAAGAGAAGAAAAAAATATTAAACAAAAGTAAACATATTAATTCATTGGCAAACACATAAAATTACACGATGTATGCATGTACTCTTCCATTTTTAGCTATGAGAAATAATAGCAGAATATATGTTATGTAATATTTAATAAGAATATATAAATAAAGGGGCCCACTTGAGTTTATTTTTCTTCAGCTACATCGATAGTGTTTAAATTCATTTTTTTCCCCATTTACTTTATTAGTATATCGTGAATGCTATTATATTTTATTATATTCATTATGTACGTATACAAGCGAAACTATGGTACAACAAAAACTTACAATTTAATTGTTGAGTGTAAATAACTCAAAGTTCATTTCATAGCCATTAATCAAAACGGCTATTTGTAAATTGCAATTCTACTTATTCGAAGCTAAAGCAGAAAAGAAAATAAGGAATGTATCCAAACTATATAATCCACTATTTTCACATAGATTGTTTGGAATACATGAAAACCATAAAGTACCTCATGTTCCTCCCATTATATATTTTCTTTTTTTGGTAATCATTCAAATCAAAGTTATGAAATTAAATGATTCTTTTTCTTAACGTTTATCAATTTTTTTCGACAATAAACTAAGAGTCTACAGTGGCAAAAATCAAAATCAACAAATGAAACGACTCAGAGACCGTTTCGAATACAAGGAAGCAATTAAGATACAAAAAATTATGTTCAAATAACTCGACAGGTGTATTTGAACGAGGCATCATTGAGATGATGACGCGCTTGGTTGTCAAAAAATCTGATGATACTTTTCCGCCTTACACCAACGGGCAATGGCAATAAGCTGCGAAGAACTATGTCCTTTCAATTATTATTTCTTTTAATCCACACATATTTGCCTTAACGGTGTGTATTTATCCGAGGATAAGTTTTACTTCTTGGTACGAATAATTTTTCGATATCGTAATACACAATGTACGAAGATTATTACAGATGGTTACGTTACAAATACAATAGGATTACCTTTACTGTTTATAGTAATAACGAGTCACAGACAAGTTGAGTGGGCCCCTAATCTACGCATCCAACGAAAAGCAGGTACGAAATTAACGCACCTGTTCTTAACGTCGATCATGATACTTTTTTTTTTGTTTTCTATCAAAACTTCTTTTACTCAAGTTTCCTTGTTAGAACATTTCAGTTTCAGTGTGTCTCTCTGTTTTAATTATGGATTTCTATTTTTCTCCTCTCTCACCTTGATCACACATTTTACTACACTTGAAATTCATTTACGTTATTAACTTTATGCACACTCTTGTCAGTGCAGCGTTGACTGATTATGCTAGTGTAGATCATCGTGACGATACACTTTATATAATTGTTCGAAGAGTTTGATTTCTCATAAAGAAAATCATTATCTATCTTTACGAAAGCGTAAAGTGGCATTGACTCTCAAAATCGTTCGTATTAGTTAAAAGTTTTCTTGCGTCGGGTGCGGTCGATTATCAAATTACGAACTTTTTTCGCTCTGTATCTCGAAGTTCGAAAATAAAAGAAAATTGAACATAGCTATCGTGGCAATGATATCATTATCATCGTACTCGTTAAATAATTCATGCTAACAGCAAGTTTTCAAACCTCAAAAGTTCATAACGCTCTGTAATGTTGACGTAGTTCAGTAAGTTCTCAAAAGGGCATTAAACGTCCCACAAAATTGAATTGCATTCGAAAATCCTGAAAACGCTATCCAGGATATGCTCTGCGCTCAACGAAGCTGACAATTAAGTTACAATTTCTCTTTCTCTCTCCTTCACACTGTTCCTTCGTTCATTCTCATTCCGTCTCTTTCGCGTTTACACGTTCTTAATCGTTTCCACGTGCGTCCCACTACTGAAGAGCATCGATAACCAAACGAATGCAATAGTTTCACAACGATTGACAATGTTGGATTATAGTTAATCCATCTGGCATACGTAATTTGAATTCTGAATTAATGCATTTGGCATAAGTCACGAGCTCTCATTCCCATCACAACTTTCGGGTACGCTAACTGTTATTTTACCCAAGTTTTTATAAAGTTTCTCATTGTCTTAATGCATTTTACGCAATAACAAATCTACAAAAATATAACATCTTATCATCTCTCATTATAATATCTCAATAAATGGTTCTCTTTCTCTCTCTGTCTTTTTCTCTTTCCTTCATTCACTTTAAATCACCTCTGCGCTTAGCCACCATTTATCTGCCACACATCCAATAGTTATTTAGTTAATCGTGTTTGTCGTGCTGTCGTGTTTCTTATTAATCATTTTCTCTCCTCTCATGTTTTTCCATTATTCCGCAATTTATATATCGGTAAAAATTACGCCTCGCCTCAATAAACTGCAGCAACCATAGTAGAAAGTTCCTTCAAACTACTCTACACATAAATAGGATTTTTAAAGTAACCGTTCTCAAAACACCGTGTCGGTAATAGTAGCACGATGCAGCCACATCTCTCCTTTTTTTCTATATACAGACCATCAATCACGCTGTTGCTATAACATAACAAACTATATGTACAATTAATTCCAAACAGACTGGCATAGCCTCGAATGTGCTACAAATTGTTGGCGTTCCTCATTGAACTGAAAACTCAAACAAAAATACCAAAAGTGTTAATTGAACAACAAAATCTACCATTACGCATTGGGAACAATTTCTTAAACTCCACAAAAACAATCATGTACGAAAATCAAGATCAAACGAATAACCAGCAAGAGTCAGATTGAAAAAAAAAAAAACGATGAAATGAAATTATTCAAAAAAGCTCTTTCTTTGCATTGATGTAAAAGTAGTAAAGAAAAATTCATGAAAATTTATCATTTTTATCATTCACCAACAAGCTGTAGCATATTTGTGCAGCGTGGGAAGAGTATTATTTAAATGCAAGTCTATGAAGACATTTTACGAGGTATGCACAGTTAGAACAGACTTCTATCTGTTAATTTTTAATACAAAGATTGCCATTTCTAAGCTCCCAGTTCAAACTACCCATTCATGCATACGTTCATCAGACACAACGGCAAATAAATATATGTCTTTCTATTTATATATATATGTATATATATATATATATATATATATCTATGTAATGCTCTGTATATATATATATATAAATCTGTAATACTACATCGCATTATGTATGTACATCATTCTCGTAACCAAGTCTCTATCATAAATAATATATGCACAATCCTTGCGACTACACGCAGATATTCGCAATCACGACTTCCATTCACACAAAACTTACGTATAGTACACCTACGGGAACCCTAGCCTAAATCATATATAAATATATATTTTACCTATATGAAAAGCATCAGTCTCCATACGCTAAGTGTTAGCCCAGTAGCCTGTTCCTACGGTCATCTGCGCAAGTTAACTGCGCTAGCCTAATGCAGCCTATCAATCCGTCGAGGAACAGGTTACTGAGATTATCAAAGCGAGCATTTCATATAATACCGGAAAATATATATTTTCATTGTAAAAAAAATAATCACGCTCCTTATGAATTAAATACTTTAGCAGTTGACGACTTGTTCTGGTTAGTAAAATTAGCGCACGCGTACACTAATCAGTCGAGAGTTCAACCTCACAATGGTAGCACGAGCAAACTTGCCCGTCAACACAAGCACGACTTTTCTACTATCTTACAGAGTGTGGTATATTTTTTTGGCAGTGAGGACATCGTATTGTGTAAGTCAAAAACGGGTTATTTTCTTTATCTTTATCTTTTTTTTTGGTCACGCCACATTAAATACTCTGTTGGCGTGGATCAAGTTGCCTTTACCTATAATAGTTAATAGTTTGGCCCCACCAGAGCTTTACGTGCAATCGAGCTATTGTGCAATCCAACATTTAAGATCGTTCGTATACTTCCTTATCAAGTCTGTTTTCTATGCTCTACATTTATCTTCGCGTCTCGTGTGATACAGAAATATTTGGAATTGATACATTCAAGAGGAAACAAATTTAGAAGTAAAAAAATATCTTCTTTCTCTAACATAAATAGAAAGACAATACGCAAGAATTAATTGAGAAAAATAGAAATTAAAAGAATATCACGAATAATTCAAATCATATGAAGTTAAATTATTGACTGGTTTTCAAATATTCCTGTTGCACAATGTCTCGATTCACATTACAATTAGATTTGTTGCAGTCTTGAGTCACATCCGAGAGTGTTAATGTCAATTTGATGCTGTGTTAAGTTACTTAATTCTCTGCAACGACAGAGGCAGGCAACGGTGCATCACCCTGACCTTTTTCTATGGGCTTACCGTTCTCCACAGCATCATCAAACTGGCCAGGCACTGATATGGCTTCTTTAGTTGCACTGATAGCAGAGATGGAATCACTGCGCATTAAATAGTACATTATTATACAAGGGTTCTACTGGCAAAAGGATGATAATTGCAATTCGCGAAGTACGAAAATACGTACGCGTATCCATCCATGAGACCTTCGACGGAAACACCACGACCTTTGGTGTCCTTTTTCTCATTCTCTTTGTTTTTCTTGGTGGTTGTCCTCTTTTTTGCAGTTGCCTGATATCATCGTCAATTAGTTTCTTTATACGATATAAATCTCATATCGAAATTACCTTCATTGGTGTTTTCTTCCCACGTCCGCCAATTGAAGTGCGATTGCTACCGCGAGTGTGAAATGTTGGTCGTCCAATGGGTGGAAAACCACGAGGAAGATCGTACTTTAGAGCGCCTATTGAAGTTACCTACAACAAATAAACTAAGAGATTAGGAGAATACTTATCAAGTACAAATGTGCACGATGATCATGGAGATTATTATTCATTCTGGAATATGCCACGTGAGAAGTGATTTGTAAAGAAGAAATTTTAAATAATACCAAAGAAACATACTTCTCTGATTCTTTACAGAATTTCATTGATGATCAAAGGAACTATTTTCAATAAAAAGATTTTGTTTCAGATTATATCAGAGACTTTAAGAAAGTAAAACAAAACAAAAGAAATATGTACAATTAAAAGTAACAGCAAACAATATTTTCATTTGTGGAACGATCTTCTAAAATACAAATAAGTAGTAAACTCCTTTTTTCTGTAAGTCCCACAAATCAAAATAATGTTATAAATAAGCAACATCAATCAAAGTGTTTACAACGATATAAACAACTTTATTTTAACAGCGATAAATTTGCAGTATAAAAACATGTAAATCTCAAACGTTTATATAAAACAATAAGACAATAAAAAAATACAATCCACAAAAAAGAGTAACACCAGGATTTCTTTAAACGCTCAAGCGTGTTGCAGCCTGGTTTTTCAACAATTCATAATGGAGACGAAAGCTGAACAAAGGACATGCACATATCTTCAGTATACACGTCTGAATACAGAAAGCTATTGAGTTCTACCAAGTGTTTTATCATCCCTTTCAAAACTTCTATTAATCTCGGTCATAAAGTCTGCTTCGGGCGGTTGTTGTTCCACATAAATACATCTGTAGCGTACCATAGTTAAACTGCGATTGCACATGCGATATCCTACCTGAGGTGGAAGTCGGCCACGATGATGATGTCCTTGCATGGGTTGTGGTGGTCTACCGGGTTGACCATAATTAGGTCCCCACTGACCTACGACAACGCCAGCAATTTCCAATTGTCCACCACGAGTCGGTATTGGACGTCTCATGAGACCACGTGGAGGAATAGTGCCACTTCCACGACCACGTACAATAGTTTCGTTGATGTTGCATCCAGCGGGAAGGATGTTTTGCGGCACGGATACTCGAATACCTGTAAAGGAAAAAAAAAAAAAATTTTAACTCCGTTAATGACACAACGAATCTAATTAAATTAGAATAACTTAAATGTAGCAGTTTGGAGATTCGGTGAGTCTGATAGAACATAGAACTCATCGAAGCAATATAACTGCGTTTCTCTCCTTCCGGTTAAAAGCACGCCACTTTATAAAATCATGGTGCGCTAAGGTAACGGGAAGGATATTCATATACATTATTGAAACTGTAATTTTCGTAATTACCTGGAGTCACTGGCAAAGGTGGACGAGCAAATACGATGTTAATTCCCTCTAGAACTGCTTTCCTCATTCTTTCTACTTTGACAACACGATCAATGTGTCCACCGCATAATTCTAATAGGTTCTTCGCAATGGTTGCTCGCGCCAGAGTGTGATGAAAAAGCTTGCCATCGAAATAAAGCCATGGACAGCACATTAGCCAAGGAATAGGCGCACCGCACGCGTCATTTGCTAGGAGAGCAGTTTCCACACCGGCCATAAAGAGAGTTGCGAGCTGAACACCACGCGATGTAACCAAAGGCAGCTGTGAATTAATATTTTACTATTTAATTTAAAGGAGCTAATGCCTGATAAAATTTGAGAAATAAATATTTTAAATTATTTACCTGTAAATCCTGCAAATACTGGGCATTCATAAGTTCTGGGGAGAAGGCTTGTGCAATGAAGGCATCGAGCTCTTGACGGCGTAATATCTTTATTTTGTCGGAGAAAGACATGATGTATCTGCATGAAAGCGAAAAGAGAATTAAAAAAAAAGAACCTTGAATAATCGTACACTGGGAGTTAGATTAATATATCATATTTTAAATATGTATCAAAAAATCTTCAGAAGCAGATAGTTATGATTCTGCCCTTACACCCTTATTTGACATACATATTAATTAAAGTTTTCTCTTTAATTAGAGTAAGTATTACTGTACTTCCTTTAATGAGTATGGCGCCTAAGTAATGTTCACCATACCTATGCTGAGGAAGCGAAAGTAATTTAATGCTGTTATGTAAGGATTACCTTAACACACAGGCCATGACCAGCAAGTGTTGTGGCACGTACGATGTATTTAACATAAGCGGAGTGTCAGATCTCATACAGGTTAAGAATCCTCTCAAACGACGGCGTTTGTCATCTATTCCAGTACTGTAATAAAATAATAAGATATACAAAATCAGCCTATAATACTTTATAAGTTGACATACGACATTTTGAGATTGTCTAAGCTAAACCGCAAATAACCAACTTGGGTCTATGTAAAACAGTGTAAATATAGGTCGCTCGGTCTTTTGTTAGCTTTCTTCTTGTATCGTCACATTGAATACACATAAAATAGGGTGACCAGATGTTCAAAATATATTATTTTATAAATTTAAAAGATATGTCCGTATTATGAAAGAAATGAACCCAGAAACTCTCAGAATAAAATGATAATTGATATATGAGGCAATTCTTATCGATTAAATGGTTTCACAGGTACTTTATGGTTTTTTAAGAATAAAAATCTGATCACCCAATATCACAACATCAACACAAGGACCATCGGACATACCTATGATGCCCACGAGAGCTGCAACGAGTATATTTCATTCATAAAAGTAACTATAAAAATTAATGTTGTACGTGTCCCTACAAATTTTGAAAAGGTAACAGATCTTTCCGACTGCCAATGTCAACGACCGATAAAAAAAAATTATCAACTGAAGTATTCTTACCCAAACCATAAACGTTGAATTGTAGGAACTCCCCAACCAATTTGTTCAGCTTTAACGATTTCAGGTGTTTGATATGGGTTCGCTTTAGACCACACCCATTCCTTGATCACAATATCCGGAACCTCAACCTTTTCATTGTCTGTCAAATTAATCGCATGATTTTTATGTTTACTGCATTTAATACTTGAAAGGACAATAAACATGATACGTTGTCAAATAATGAAGTGATCATTATAATAAATGTTATAGGAGATATACATTGTGATCATGCATTTTGAATGAATTATGATTACTTTTCTTGCCTTGCTTCCTGTTCTTTCCTGTGAGCTCTGATGAACAGTGATTGAAATAATGATAAAAATGTGATAATAGATGACAGAAAGACTAATGCTCATGAAGATAAGTAGTGGGTGGTAGCAGGAAGTTTTATGCAACGTTAATTGAGTTTAAGGAATGATTATTATGCTGCTGTCAGTCACTTTCCTTCGGTAAGCATTAAATATTAATAAAAATTTCAAATAACTTACCACCTTTTTCTTTATTCTTTGTGGCCAAGTATAAACGATGATGCAGATTAAATAAAATGGCATATACCATCTGTCTGACTGGTCTGTAAATCAGATGAATGGATGGAAATTCACGATGATTCTCGTCCTCCAAGAGAACCGGCAGTTTTAATTCTCCGGCAATCAAGATTTGACAAATGTGGGGGGACATTAAGCCCTTCTGATGTCGCTCGGAGGCAGTACGCATAACTTCAGGAACAGTTGCTGGAACATTATTTGTTTTTTCTGACGGTTTCGCAACATCTACCGTTGCATGAGACGGAGATGTTGCCGAGGAGCTGCTGCTCGAACTTGAAGAGCTTATTAAAAGATTGTGAGTACCGTTGATCACGTGGCCATTGTCTATTAAAAAAGAATATAATTGCGTTAAATTAGTATATATACATTCTATCATTGTAACTACTAAACAACCATTTGTTTGCTCACTTTGTTCCTCTTCCGTGCGAGTATTGTCGGCATCTCCGTGGCCTTGAATACCAGGCGGTTCAATGACTATTTGCGGTGCAATTTTTGCATTGGCCGTAGCTTGTTTGTAGGCGTTAAGGCTTTCACGTTCACTCTCAACAGTTTCCGAGGCAAAACGCGAAGTTTCTAGATTTGTGTCCTCTTCCGATGTTGGTGGAGGCTCAGTTACATTGGATTGAATCGGCGCAGTTTGCTTGGATTCAGACTTGTGAGCTGAAATACCTGAATATTGAGAACTATGACTTAAATATATTAATTTCTAATGAGCGATGCTTATAAACTATAATGTGATTTTTACCTTTCGTTGGCTTAACGGGTTTGTAATGTAAAAATCCTTCCTTCGTTCCATTTATGTAGTATTGAAGCGACTGTCGTAATCTACTACACCTGGGATCGGTAAGAGAACCAAATACTTTTTGCGCAACGACATCTAATTCGACTGATGGAAGATCTTTTACGAAAGCGGCAATCGCCCTAATCATTTGTTCGATTGTGGTTTTATTTGAGTTTGTGTTAATATTGAGTTTTTTATAGAAGTCAGTTAAGTCATTTTCTGTGAGAATGTAATTTCCAAGAAGAGCAGCAAGTGTGCACAACCTATCAGATGGGATATTCAAGGCCTTTATAAATTCAGGGATGATATACTCTTTCGTCTCCAATGAACCCTGTAATAAAGAAAAATAATTGAAAATATACGACAGCACAAACAGTTTAATAAATGATAGATACTTATATGACGCGAGTATTACCTTGTATGTAAGTTTTAATTGTTCAGATGAAAAGTATCTAGGTGGATCAAAGGCGGCATACTCAGCATCATCAGCAATCAGGCCATTGAAATTATTTTCTCGGCAATAAGCGATTACTTCTTGATGGTGGTCATCCATACTACACAGCTAAGTATAATATTTATTTATTACTAAAGCCTATGAAACACACATGTTCTACTAAAGGTGGATGAATGAGATTCTTTACCACTGTCACACTGAGATGCCTGAGAGCCATGCGTAAGCTGGTACGCAAACATACTGGTGGAGTCCACCAAATCTTTGGTGGTGGTGTACCTTTGGTCGTAATATGTTTTAGAACCTGAAAAGTATATTATCACAAAGGCATAATTTTAAAATTGAACTCCCCTTCTAAACTCTCTAAAGTCTGACAGCATGGAACTTACATTATTTACTTTAACTCGCACTTTTAGCTGATTCTGGATCCATTCAGCACGGCGAGGAGATTCAAGACAACCATTAAAGAACACAGCTAGCTCCACTCCAGCTAACTCGGTTGCTTGAGTGAGAACAGCAAGGAATTGTACCATGCGATTCCATTGTCCGCCACAAGCCCAATCTGAGAAATTTCTCTAATAAAGTGAAGAACGAAGAAAATACATAATTTAATGAATAACCATTGAGCAATTACCTGAGAAGTATCCACCATACAATCGATCTAAACAACATTCTCCATCAAGAACTAATCTAAGCTTAGCTAGAGAATGTTGTTGACCTTTGCCAATGCGATTACGCTGTCTCTGTGAAATGTTTCGAGCAATTTTTAGCAGATCCACTGGTACTGAACCTCCTTGAATGGAGCTATTATCCAAAAACGCTTGCAGGTCTTGAATACCCATTGTATCAACAATTCTTTTCAATTACAGATTTATATATATATATAATCAGTTTGTGCTTAAGATGTTTATATTATGGTATTACTATTTTTTTATAGTTATTTCTAGAGCCAACGGTATTAAGTTGTGTTTAATAGGTTTTTATTTTTTAATAATTAAAGAAACCCAACTCCAAATTTCCCGGTCGAAATCTGAAAGAAAGAAAAAAGAAAAATATCAATATCAACGACCGTATTTACATCCTGGAGAAATTAACGAACTTAATTAATACATATATTTAAATTCAAGGTTGGGCAAGCCAATTACAGGCTATATGGCCAAAAGTTACTATCATATAAATAGCAAAATGTCCCTCCATAATATAAAGAAATTTCGGACCATAGATTACATAAGCGCGGCATTCCAATTATTCAATAATTCTTATTAATAAATAATTGGAGTACGAGCAAGACTCAACAGCCACATTATTAAAGTCAGCCTGTATGAGGTCTCAGGGCCTTAATTAGTTACCTAATAGAACAGACTAGAACAGAATCCATTCAAAGTTTGCCGATGAAAATCTCAAATCAGATTAATACACGGCTTCACAAAAACACAGAAAACTGAATCACCAAATTGCAGAATACTCGAAAAACATAAAATTTATCAAGACCAAGTATGAACTGTCGAGACGCCATTTATTTTGTTTACGTGGACGCGAGTTTCCTACGGCTCATTTCTACGGTTGAGCGGATCGGTCGATTTCTCCAAAAGGTATTGTTTATATAACTTTTATCTGGTTGACAGGCAATAGAAACCGAGTTTTTAAATTATTAAAAGGATCAACTAAGAATTGATCTCCTCACCGGCATGGTGACGAAAACAGTGTCTCATCGGCATAGCTTATGCAAGGATATCGCACGGATTCGCGACCAATTATTTATTCAAACGAAACCGCGCGATCTCTCCTGCCATTCTAGCATACCTCCGACTTTAGCTTGATCATATACTCACGTTAAATTAGCAAGAATCATTATGGCTCCAAAGAAACACAAAACACACGGTCTTTGAGTGCAGATGACGTCGAGTTCGAAAACGGAAGTGAACTCGACCACGCTCACCTCAATCTCAACTCCTCGCCGGCTTACGAGAAGTTTAACAGAAGCCGTATTCGCTATTGGTCAGATTTAGCGGAATTTAAATATGGTCGACAGACGTAGTGAGGCCAAAATTGTTTCTAAATACAAAGCGAAATCGTTTCATTGTTCACGGAAAATAATCGCAAGCCGATAACTTTTTATGATCGGTTTTAGAATATTAATGCGAAGCCGCCACAAGAGGGAATTCAATGTCGGTTGACCGGTTGTTAGATATTCAGGAAATGGTACTGTGCTGATGCCTCGCCTGTGAAACTATTTATAGTTTGCTAATGTACCTTTTTAAACGACGTTGTAATGCAAATTAACGTCTAATTCAAGAATATCTAAAAACGTTACTTCACCTAAAACTTGGCCTGTATAAATACCGGTACGGAGTAATGTATAAGTTCACTTGAGGCTGATTCTGTTTTGGACTTAGGAATTGAACATTTTCGTAACAAAAATGGACAGTTTGTACAATTTGGTTTTTTAATCTTTTGTATACAAATACATTCGCACATCTCGCAAACACACCACATAAGTAACGTACAATAAATGCTCGTAAGCGTTACTATGAACTAAGTGGAAGAACAAATCAAGTAAATAAATTAAGTGTTTCGTTCAGATAACGAAATTCTGTAGCTAAATTTCATACTTTTTCTTGTTTCACTTCAGTCGAATGAAAAAGATAAACTCAGTTTGTATATTTTTTAGTAGTGAGTGTATTGTCACTACTGCATCGTTAGGCGAAATTGGAGCCCTCCGATTCCCATAAAACGTTGAGAACAAACGCGCATCACGGAGTGCAATTACGTTCTCTGTTGCGTACATGAAATAATTGCGAAACGCTCCCGTTATTCATACGTAGTGAAATTAATCGAAAATTTGCAATGAAAATGTTGCAATGTGAGGAATTTGTAAAACAGCTATACATTGTATAGCATATTCCACAGTTGTAAATAAGTCTAGTCTTACATTTTTAAGTTTTCTTATAATTCATCATGCTCTTCATCTTTATCTTCATCAGCATCGACTTCATCTGATGCTTTTTCAGTCTCTGAGGTAGACTCATTGTCCAAAAAGTCATCTTCCTCTTCAGGAGCTTCATCTAGTGGGATACCTAATGTTTTTCCCATTAATTGCTCAACACTTTTTGCGAAGGATGCTGTGTGCTGTAGCATATATCCTGACCTAAGAGTGGCTGTCTGAAACATCATTAGAGCCATTTCCTTCGCAGTTTCATCATCTTTGTCTTGTTCCACTCGGCGTAGTAATTCACGGATCAAAGGATGTCTAGGATTAATCTCAAGGGTCTTCTTTTGGTTCAAATAATAAGTCTTCTGTGGATCATTACTCTTTTGATGGGCATTGGAGATGGCTAATCGCTCCATGTTACCAGTCCATCCAAACATGCTAGCAACAAGAGCGCTTGGAGAATCTGTTAAACGCTCAGATACTTGAGCCTTGCTGATATAATCCTTCAGGATATCGTTTAACCAGTTAGTAAGAGGTTCAAATGTTGATTTTAGTTCTTCCATGCGTTCCTTTGCTTTATCTCCATCATCAAGTGTGAAACCTTCCTTCGCTACATTTTGGAATTTCTTTCCGTCAAATTCAGGCAGAGAAGAGATGGCGTACTCGTCGACTGGTTCAGTCAAGTACAAGACCTCATAGCCCTTTTTGTTTAAGCGTTCCACAAATGGAGATTTCTGAACCTCAGCTAAGGAACTTCCAGCTATATAGTAGATATGTTGCTGGTTTGGCTTCATGCGAGCGACGTAGTCGGCCAAAAATGTATTTCCTTTCTGTGTCGAAGAACGGAATTGTAGAAGCTTTGACAGTCGTGCTCTGTTCTGAGGATCTTCAATGACTCCTAGTTTGACATTAGTGCTGTATTCTTTCCAAAATTGCTCGTAGTCGTCCTTTGGAATCTTCTTTATCATGTCTAGGACTTTTCTAATTAGCTTCTTTTTTATTACTTTGATTAACTTATGCTGTTGCAATTTCTCACGTGATACGTTCAATGGAAGATCATCACTATCTACAATACCTCGCACGAAAGACAAGTAGTTTGGCATCATTTCATTAAATTCATCTGTGATAAATACCCTTCGGACATAGAGTTTTATATTGTCACCCTTGGTACCATAACGGTTGAAGCTTTCACTAGGTTGTACTTTGGGTATAAAAAGTAGGGCCTTAAAGGTCACTTCACCTTCGGCAACGAAGTGAATTTTAGCCAATGGGTCTTGACTGTCTTTTGTCAATGCCTTGTAGAAGTCATTGTACTCCTTATCAGTGACTTCGGATGGCTTCAAGGTCCAAATTGGTTTGGAGTCATTCAACAATTCCCAATCCCAGACGGTTTTGTCAATTTTCTTAGTTTTCTTTTCTTCTTCAGCCGCATCTTCTACCTTTGCATCGTCTTCTTCATCTTTCTTTTCATCTTCTGTTTCATCGACTTCTTTATCTTCGCTGTCAGTCTTCTCAGGTTTGTCTTCTTCATCCAATTCCTCTTCAACTTGAATATTTTTGCTGGACCACAAGTAAATTGGGAAGTTGATGAATTGCGAGTATTTCTTGATGAGGGTTTTGATAGTATCTTGTTCCAGGAAATCCAGTGCTTCATCTTTCATGTGTAAGCTATAAAAACATATGAATATTAAACTGCTATTTCAAATAAGTTATATATAATAATTGAGAAAAGTCATTTGATTACCTAATTGTAGTTCCTCGTTTGAGAGTATCTCCTCGTGGATCTTCAACTATACTGTAACTTGAACTGTCAGACTCCCAAATGTACTGTTTGTCATCATTGTGCTTAGTAGTGACAACAACTCTGTTTGCGACTAAGAATGACGAATAAAATCCAACACCGAATTGACCAATCATATCATTCATTTCTTGCGCATTGGCTGCATCCTGCATCTTGCCCAAAAATTCAGCAGTTCCAGATTTTGCAATTGTTCCAAGGTTATTCACCAAGTCTTGTTTAGTCATACCAATACCAGAATCTGTGATACTGAGAATCTTATTTTCTTTATCTGCTTTTATTCTTATGCTCAGTTCTGGATTTGTATCCAAAACATTTTTGTCAGTTAAAGAAAGCAGTCTGATCTTATCCAATGCATCAGATGCATTGGAAATAAGTTCTCTAAGGAAGATCTCTTTGTTACGATATAACGAATTGATGATAAGTTTCATCATTCGATTGACTTCTGTCTGAAAAGTAAACTTCTCAGCCTTTTCCCGAAGTTCTTTAACTTGTGCAACATTGAGACCATCAATCTTAATGGCCTCCTCTTCCCTCTTCACAACTTCATCATCTATAAGCAAAAATATTATACAATACTACATATCAAGATAATACCTATCACAGTTAAGTGATTTATCAGAACTTGGACAATACTCCATATCAGTGACTGATGTAAATTGTTATGAAACCCTACATGCATTCCATATGTTATTTTAGCGTATGGAGTGTAATTATAGTGTGATAACCAATTTGAGTGTACAATATTAAAATATGTACTTCTTCAAATAATAAGCGTAGCGGGTAATATATTGAAAAAATTACCAGTTCTCGATCCTTCTCGACTAGCCCCAAGATCGTTTTCAACGGTTCCAACTTCGTCTTCAACGGGGTCCTCTTCAGCTCGGACGAATCCTAGGAGACAAAAAAAATGCAAATATTATAATTTCCGTTTATACTGTTCCCGCTAAGCGTCCTTACACTTTTAGTATGAATAATACAATCAAATTATAACAAATCTTACCGGCCAGAAGGAACAGCCCTACAGCCAATATGAACAATTTTTTCATCGCTGTACCGTACGTTCAAACAGGTGAACTAACACGCACGCAATAAGAAAACTTCTTCGCACACGGTGCTCCGCCTCGTTGTTTTTAGCCGACTGTCAGAAGACCTACGTTGGGATGAAATTTAGGAAGACGGGAACAGCAAAGTGGGCCAATCACAAAGAACCACGCAACATACGTGGACCAATACGATATTACCCGGTGTTAGCCCTGTCCAAATGTCGTTCTTCTATTGGACGATGATTCTGGTTAGCTTCTGCTGTTCTAGAATATTCAATCGGCTAATCTATTTCTAGAATATCAAGTTTACTTACCCACTGAGAGGGATAAAAGATAAAGAACAGCCATTGCATTATCTTTGCATGAAACTCCAGAAATATTTTATCTTTTTAATAATTCTCATACAATCAGTAATTTGACATAATACAGGGCACATATTTAAAAGAATATCAGTATAAGTCAGTAACAATAAAAATACACAGTATTAAGTGAAAAGTTTCGTCAACAACCGATTATTCTGTGCTTATACTATTTTAGAGATTGATACAAGTGTAATAATTGAGGAGACTCCTAACTTTTCATTACCATGCGAGTCAAATTTAGACGGAAATTGTAAATGATAAGTTTTTGATTTATATTCTTTCCTAAAGCGGAGTTCGGCCCACATTCTACAAGATCATCAATCATTTAACATTAACTTCGCAATAACCAACTGAAAACTTCATAAATAGTATGACTCGAAAATTTAGTTAGACTTGGGTTCTTGTTTAGATTGTAGGTGTGTTACTGTACAAAATTATAATAGTAAAATTTATCATCGGAACAATTTTTTAAGCATAGAAATGCATTTAAATTTTTTAGCACTAATTTCCCAACGGTGTCAATTTCACAGATTTAGTGACTGTCGATTTTTTATCGACTGAGTTAAGTATTCTCTAAAATCTTTTTACCTATCGGTAATGCAGATAGATCAAAGAGGTTCATTATGTCGATGAACTCGAATATTGAAGATCTAATTAATGAATTTCTCAACTTCATACGCTACAAAGTACGTATGTAATAGTCTATTTAATATTGTCAGAATATTATTATTTTAAAGAATGTTTCAGACTGATATGAGCATCTGCAATAAGTATAAATAAATTAGGAATGGGTTCACCTTACCCTTTTTTGTCTCTTGCGGTATAAAATTTTTAAAACAGGTTTCTAATCTCATCAGGCTCTAAAAGCACTGGTATCACTCATAGCAATATGTTAACTATAAAGTAAATAATTTTATCATACATATTGGCACTATGTGTTTCGAACGACCATATGTACATGACGTAATGCCGATTTCTTTAATAGATAACCCGTTAAATTATCTCAGGGTTCCTGAACCCAACAGATCCTAATAACGCGGTTCTCATGTACCCGGTGAAAGTATCAAGGAAGAAGAGATACTCATATAAGTGGGAGGAATCTCGTCAGGTGAACTTGAATTAGCTTTCAGTTCACGGCCATTCGTACTCCGACACTGACGTCATGTTATTCATAACAATCTTCCTTTTAGTCTTCACTTCACTTGTGAATTCGTCGGCTGGTAAAAATCGGAAAAACGGTAGAGACGAGTAGTTTTCTTCACTTTAATATATACACACCGTAATAATTAACCAATTTGAAGATCATATTATTATACATCCTTTAAAAAATGAATTACCAATAATAAAACTGGTCATTAACTTAAAATAAAAATATACCAAATTCATTGTGTATAACTTGAGGATTTATTTTCAAATCCTTTTACTGTATTCGCAGAGGAAGTATGGGAGCAGGATTTATCAAAAGAAATGCAAATTGGTGCATCCACCGAAGGATATGATCGTGTTGGACTACGTTGCGGTGCGGAAAGCATGACGGTAGAACTTAGGACTACTGAAGATTTTTCCGGTGTTATTTATACACAGGGTAGTTTTCATTCCAAAGAACCACCTTGCTTTTTGGATCCTACAAGAGGTCGTAGTTTTACTATGAACATTCCGTTGAACGAGTGTACTACTGAACAGGTGAATTTATATATGTTAATCGTCTGTTTAATACAACAGCCCTGGTATATTTTTATAATAACTTGGAATTGATTTAATGATTAACCATTTTGTTTTCTATAACTGTTGTTTTCTAGATCGGCGAACGGTACAGCAATGTCGTGGTGATTCAACACGATGACGAACTTGTTACGCCGGGAGATGCCGCCTTCACGTTAGAATGCGATTTCTCGAAGCCTAGAGACTTAACGGTGACAGCAGATTTTAATGGAAGTAAAAATAAGTGAGTATCCAAATATATACACAAGATCAAATCTATTTGATATTCTGTACTTAAATATATTATACTTACCGGATGATTCATTGAATTAGTCGTTTAAAAAGATATTTCAAAGATAATCAAAATCTTTACTTCTTTCGTCGCTTTATTTTCAGAATTGCCAAATCAAGTATCGCCCTGGTAGATGCAGATCCTGGAAGGGATAGAAGAAAAAGGGCCGCTTACGTGGAAAGCGAGACAGAAGAAGTAATCTTCACACCAGATTCAATTCGTAAGAGAAAAGAAGAATTGTGAAAGACTATAACGCTTGCTTTAATTGTCTCGAAGTATGAAAAAAGTTTAATTGCAATAAAAACGCTTCTTTTGTATCATTACGCTTGGGAATCAGCTTATTCGCCTTATCCTTCAGCAATAGAGTCAAATGAATTTCATTAAATTTCAGGATAGTCAGAGGAACAGGATAATGCTGTTAATCTTGCCACACATTTCAAGTGATCTCGAAGAGTATTGCGAGCTGATCAAATGCTGATCGATTATTATAGATTTTAATTATATGCCAATGCGTTATTATCTAAGATATATATAGTATATACACACACATATACTATATAAGTGGGAAACACATTTAGGTCGAGATATCCAGTGGAAAATTATGTATTATGATAGAGATATACAGCCATTACATATACCATAAATATGTAATTATCGTCCTCTTGCTAAACTATTTAATTACATGGTACGATTCATTTAGAGACGGATTTGGTAGTTTTAAGATGTAAAAGGGATGTTATTGCACTCACAAATTCTTGACGTAATATTGTTTTCTATTCCTACGATTACCTACCTATCTAGTAAGATACATGAACCTGACCAGAAAGAAACGATCTCGATAATCCTTGACACAACGGAGCATCGCAAAATGGATAAACTCATCGTTGCATTTACGACTCTTCAAAAATTGCTTTGTATTGAAGTTTTAAATGGAAACTTATTACATATATTTGAATTATAATCTCAAGATATTTAACAGATTTACGATACGCGTCTCTCCATAGAAATTGGACAGAAGTTCAATTCAATAAAGACGTGGCACGAAATTGGCATCACACGGAAGGAGGAAAAGTATCTCACAATCAGTCAAATGAAGATATTAGATACTTGCAGTGCATACTGTGGATCTATTCAATTCCTATCAGTCTCGTAATTGTTATTATAAAATAGCATGATAATTAAGTGATACGTCAATAACTAATTTATATGCCCCCACTTATATCATTTGCAAGTATATATATGTATACAGTTAATCTGTTGGCAAAGTCACTCTTGCACAGTCCTTGTTTCACGATCTGAGTTTGTCTATCCATATTCAATAAATTTCTAATATATTGATCAATATGGCCACCATTAAGTTTAAAAGTACCTCCCCGTACAAACAGAAGAGACTTGAGCCGCCGCCAGAGGATTATTTGTATGCTAAGTAAGCGGATTGAAAATTCTTAGATAAAGATAAGTACTTATTTGTTTCATTTTAATTATAATATTGAATTATTTAATTTAGATACCTTAAGGATATCAGTTTGCAGTCCTCCCACGTTGACGAGAAAGTATTAAATGTTGCTCTCTTCGGTATTGGTCGTGCTGGAACAATCCATCTAACGACCCTGGTACGTAGCATTCGTGTAAACTTGTTGTACATCGTTGACGATGATGAATCGAAGTGGGCACCAACCAAGAGATACTGGAAGCTAGACGACACTACATTCCTCTCGAGCAAGGATGCCGACAAAGTCTAAAAAGATGCCAAGTACGTATAATATGAAAAACGAATATCATAAGATGAATAGTTATCAAAAGAAAGTATGCACATTCAGAGCTTCTTATATTTTATAGAATCGATGCCGTGATCGTATCATCCCCCACGTTCACTCACGAGGGTATCGTCACCAGGGCTCTTGCAGCCAAGAAAGACGCCTTCTGCGAGAAGCCCATTGCTAAGAACAGAACTAATAGCGCCAAGTGTTACGATGTCGCCAAAAGAGCCGGAAGGACTCTTCTGCGCCTTCAACAGACGCTTCAACCCCAGTTACAATGCCATTCGTAACATAGTTCGCCAGGGTGAAGTTGGACACGTTCAGATCATCAAGGTCACGTCCCGTGATTCCCCACTTCCTACCATAGAGTACCTTAAGTTTTCTGGAGCTATTTTTCATGACTGTATGGTTCACGACATCGATATGGTTACCTGGGTAGTTGGAGAATATCCCATCAAGGTATATTAATAATTTTTAAATATTTTCTAAAAAACTAAGAATATCACTTACCCAATTTTGCTGATTTAATATAATTTTTGTAAATTTCGTCCAGGTCGGAGTTCAGGCACATGCTCATGTTCCTGAGATCAAAGAAGTGAATGACTTCGACACTGTTGTCGCTACACTTTACTTCCCATCTGGCACCTTGGGGATGATTGATCTTTCCCGTAATTTCACCTATGGCTACGATCAAAGACTCGAGGTCTTTGGAGCCAAAGGAATGGTCCATGCTAATAATAAGCATCCTATACACGGTGTCACTACGCAGTATAACCTTCAAGGGCTTAAAACTGCACCCATCTGGTACTCCTTTCCCAGCCGTTACAAGACTGCATATGAGAATGAACTCAACCACTTTCTGGATATTATCCTTGACAAGACTAGGAGTCTTGTTGACCCTAAAGAGACTCTCGTCGTTAGCAAAATCGCATCAGCTTGCGAAGAGTCTGCTCGTACTGGAAAGATGGTAGAGATCAGCTGGGCTCCTGGTGAACTGCCTGCATGTGATTGTTTATATTCGCCATTTAGAATAGTTGAAGAAATAACACAATTTCTGTAAGACCTATTAGATATAAATGTTACAACAGACGAGAATGATTGTTTTCAATGTGATATCTGATTCAGATTACCAGAGCTTTTCTGTCACACTACAATGAACGATATGTTTTTTCTTGAAATTTATAAGTAGCAACTGATACAACACGAGGGATTTGATGTAGAATAAAATGTGATATGCAACATCCTGTTATTTTTTTATCAATAATAAAGAAAATACAATAAAATGCAGTACGTACTAAGTGATTGGTAACAGCATACAGTGGATTTCGTTTGTAAAACGATAGAAAACCTGTTAATTAAATTATAGACATTTTTTTTGTTGGGATTCTCGTATAAAAACACTTGCGGATTTACGATATCTTATTTACAAATAAATTTGAGACACACCCAAGGCAAAAAACTAGTTCTCGTTTGATACCAAAAAGTAAGTCAAGAAAAAAACAAATGATACGTAAATAGATCATTTCTTTCCTATTATCGCACGTAACACTTTTGTAAGTTCAAATGATAACTTTCATCGTATTTAAGATTTTTCTAAAAGTAAACTTAATAGCAGATTCGCAGACTATTACCATATGTACACTGATTCATTTTCAATTGCAAAATATCTGGAAGCAGTGTGTCAGACTGGTATTAGACTTTTAGAAATACAAATTGACGATATACTAGTCTGGACAAATAAGAGAAAAAAAGAAAAGAGAAATTCTATTCATACTCTACTTTGCATTTGAGCGTCTATCATGTACGAGTTCTGCATGTAATTGTGCAGATTATGAAATTATAAAATGTTCTGTACGTTGCTGTTGGCCAAGTTATATTAATTACCTATGTCACTCATTATTCAGTCCCGATAATTTTCCTGCTCGTTATATCAACATGAGCCTTTTCATTTAACTCACTATACTAACGTAAGTCACCCTTGTTTCTAATTCTAAATGAATCAAAGGTGGTTTGATTACCCATTAATTAGCGCCACACAATTAGATTTGATACCCCTGATTAAGATAACATCCGTTTTGTTACCTATTCGATGAACCATGCTTGATATTGAGACAATTGTGATAATTACAAATTTTCAAGTCCTCAATGATTCAAATCAATATCTATTCGTTTCAAGTCGTGCTTCACTTGGCCAATAGCGAAGCAAGTAAAGCACTTATGTCGATGATCGTTGCAAAAGATGATATTTGTTTTTTGAGAAATATGGGAAGAACAAATATCGGCGCTTTTGGATGATAATAATTCTTTTAAGAATTTTCATTAACTCCCGTATAGTTCTCTAGAGTTCTTTAATAAGATGACCTAATCAAATCTCAAAGACTTGACAAATAAGGCTGCAATGGCTTGCGCCTTATCACCGTTAAATCTACGTAATTCGGCGATTACTTGTGCTCGTGTGAATCCTAGTGCTTCGATTTCTTTGACTGTTTCCTCAGAGAAGGGATCGTGTGGTAAAACAGTTGTTTCAAGAGCAGTGGTTGTGCTGGAAGATACCGATGTACTCAAAGGATTACTTGTGCTTAGGCCGTCTGAAAGATATAACAAACTCTGAACTACACTATAAACCCTAAATATTATGGCACTCTAAGATGATTAAGAAACATCATTATCTAATAAGATAAAGTATCTTCCAGGCAAGTGTTCAATGTTATGGAATAATTTATGGATGTGTAGAAAGAGGAATCACAATGAGGAATAGGAATAATAGGAAAGCCCGGATAGATACATACTTACCAGGTTGCTGTCTCTGCTTCTTCGGATCTCTTGAACTATCTTCCAAGGCTCTTTGCAGGTCCCGGTCGTCTAACGACTCGTCGCTATTACCACTAAGTCTTGCACATTCTGGCAGGTCACCTTTTAATTAAAAATAAATTGTACAAGGAGTATAAACCTTATCTAAGGTAATACAAGAATTTGTGGTTAGAAATGTACCTTCAGCTAAGAATGAAGTTTCGGTACCCGTGGTACCGATTTTTAGGACGTTTTTCTTGAGGTCTATACAACACTGATGTCTTTTGAGCATGTCTAACCCAAGTAACATATCCATAGGCTGTTCCTCGAGGACGCTGAACGAGGTAGTGAGGTGATCGTTGCCAATTTGGATTTGTACCATGTGTATGCGTCCAATGATACGCTGGACGCCAACACCTTTTGCGACGCCAGCCCACCTTGTGTCAACCAGTCGCATTATGTGACATCTTTCGGCACAAGCCGCGGACATTATTGTTGTCTGAGCACCTAATTTTCAAAACGGTAGACTTTGCAATGCATGAGGGATGGAGACCGGTAATCAATCGGTCGGGATTCGGTAACCCTGACGAGGATTCCGATGTAGGAGGGCAATGACTCGCGAAAATTTTTGTCGATGAATCGCATGTGCACGATCGGCGAGCTCTGAGGTCTATTATTAAGTTGTTTATCTGTGAGAGCCATATGCTACGCGAAGTCAGACTGACTCTTGTGCAAATTTAAAAATAGCGACTCGAGGAATAAACTGTATCGCGTGAAATATATTTTTACACGATGTTTGCACCAGACTGACGATGCATGTATAAACTGCGTGCTACCATATAAAGAATTTTAAATGCTAATAGTAACCTGAATCGATGAATGCCTTTACAGGGAATCCATTGACTTTACAGTTGATGTACAGCATTACGACAGTGCCAAAAGTTTCTGGATTGTACTCCATGGCAGCTTCCATATTAGCTTCAATATTCTTTTGCTTTATTTCCTCAGCTATAAGTCTCTGTGCCTCCGTGTCAAACGGATCTGCGTTCATCATTTTAAGACGTTGAGCCTGGCGCTCCTCCCGCGCTTTTATTTGCTCCCGAAGCACCGTTGCAAACCTATCTGCAATCCGCTGACTTTTAGACATAGAATAACGTAGAATTTTCAGGTTTCCATGACGATACTATAGAGAGAATGTATCATTAATATTTTAATTTTCATAACATACCAAGATTGCCAGACAGAAGAGCATCTGCTAATCTAGGATTATTCTGTTTTAACAGAGCAAGCTGATCAGGATTGGCTAGAAACATGTCTCGTATCATTACAGGATCATCTTCATTGCGAGGATTTTGGAAACGCTGTGTTGGTGCAGTGCTGGAACTTGGTGAAGGCCGGTTGGCTGAAGTTCCTGGAACCCTGATCGAACTAAAGTCCAATATAGGTACACCTAAAAGAATATACTAAATCATAATTGAATCAAATAGAAATAAAAATCAAAAAATTGCAATAGGGTATAATATTTCAATGCCTCTTAAAGATTTTATTCTTTGTTCTCTTGAAAAATGTGCTTCGTAGGTAACAAAGCAAATCGAAAGCATGTTATATAGCAAGACATTTCGTACACCAATAGAAGCACAATCAAAGTATAAAAAACAAAAAGAAAGAAAGACAGAAAGAAAGGGTAGCATCGAATGGATCCTGACCTCCATCGAAAGATTGTAAATTGAGAGCAGAGCTTCTCTGATGCATATGCTGTAGAATAACGGCGTCCCCATCGCATATTCCATGATCACGTAAAGACTTCTTATCATCCATAAGTGGTCGCCCATTAAAAGCAATCACAATTTCATGCGCCGGTACGCCACTCTCTATCTCACAGAACGCTTTGAAGTTCTCGAGTTCTAATTCCTCGCTGACGTCCAGGACGAAGATGTCGTCGCTCAGCGTAGTAACCGTCACCTTCATCCTGACTACAACGATGCCGGCTAGGCTTCTGTTTCCTAGAGATCCGAGTACTCACTCCACAATAACGGTATGAATAATGCGCGCAGTTTTGCGCGCTTTTGTAAGAAAAAAATTGGGTTTCACTTGGGAAACGGGGAGTGACGATGATAAACACTTTCTGGGATGTAAACAACCCAGCTCAGCAAAAATACTCCCCGTGACCGAGGTTAGACTTGAAGATAGTGCCGTTTCGTGAACGACGCAGATATCGGGGACATCGCTCTCGAATGCGAGATAAAAAACTATCTCGTACTCGAAGATCGATTATCGAGTTGACTAAATCGATTTTTTTTACAATTACCAGAGTCTAGCCGCTCAAGAACAAAATTGTTTATTATTGACAGAATTATTTCATAGACTATAAAAATTAATAAATAATTCCTTAAAAATTTTAAATTATTAATCAATTAATCATTTAAATGATTTTGAAATTCTTTATTTTGCAGAGACCCATTAAATCCTTCATGAACGTACATACTAAACAGCTCTCGTACGGATGTATAGTTAAAATACAATAATTATTTATAATCCTTTACCCTGGGACATGTAATCAATTCGTGCATGGTTTATTGTATAATTCAAAATGGGAATCTTCCCAGTCAACCAGCATTACAGTTTCTTTCTTGCAATATTCCCACCTAAAAATGCATTAAGTGTAATATAGTTTTAAATTTATACACTTACTGTCGGAATTACATAAAATGTGTTTACCTATTCCCTTTTCTATCCTCGATAGCTATTTTATTAATGGGTAAAATAATAGACTTAGGTTCGAACGTTGTATTTTCCTCCGTACTTTCAATAGCAGCACGATACGATATTGCACCTCGAATTACTTTTACATTTTCAGGTAAACTTTGAAATTTAGTAGCTGCTATACCGTAGAATGTTGTCCTTTCTTTTGTTGGATTGGACAAACTTAAAGAAATAGAAATTAAATAACATAACCCTTTAAATTCCCAAAGAATATTCTTATAAAATTTAATATACGTACTCGCAAGAAATCTTAAAATTTGTAGTACTGTTTTGATGCTCAATATTGATGTACAATATTCCAAGAGTCTTTGTAGCGACTTCAGAAGTCGTTACAACCGCTCTAAGTGGATCTCCTGTAAAATACAATTACGCAAACATAATATAGAATTTCGTCTTTAACCCTTTCGCTACGGCAGTCTGTTCCGCGGGAGTAGCGCCACTGAACGGGGCACTGCGCTTACGTCTTTCAATGGCACTTTGGAATTGTCTTGTATATATACTTTTTTAAGAGTTATGCAACTGTTTCGTCATATTATATAGAAAAACATCAACATGAGTATATTGTGGGTATTCAGAAATTTACATATTAACAAAGTAGTAGATTCTGTGCTACCAACGAAGTCAGGGTAGGTAGTCTCGCGGCCGCCGACTATAGTCGGCGTCCGTAGCGAAAGGGTTAAATAATTTTTTTTTATAACATAATACCGCAAAATGGTTCTTCGGGTCTTGTGACTAAGTAAAAAACACCACTTGGTCCACGATCAGCAGCGTATCCCATTTCCTGTGGTCCATTTGTCACTGCTCTAGGAAAGCAGAGACCTTTTTTAAAAGAACTAGCCCCACGCTTACACGTCCACGATGTAAATTTGCAATTTTGAAATTGGGTGTGCATACTCTCCACGAAATATTTCCAAGCTCTTATATGGCTACAGGCAATCTTCCTATTCAAAGACTCCTCTATAAATGGAAATGTAAGTATAAAACTGTTAAAATTCAAAATTCTCACATTTCCTAATAAAAATATTTCAAAAGGATACAGTACCGTTAAAATGACTGACTACAACTGAATTCTTCACATCTATACAACCGGGCTGCTCGATTCCGCCGTTTGGAAAGAAATCAATATGCCCAATGGGTTTGAGCAAGCCAAAACCATCGGTAAAAACTTCTGACCCGTCCGTATGAATGACATCCACAAGACGAGCATCTGACACGTCCAATTTTCTAGAACGATCTCGCACGAGGTGATTTTTAAAAAATGGCGATGCTGGATCCAATCCAGTAATACGTCCCAGAAGTAAATTCCTCTTTTTCAAAACTTCTGAGGCACAGCCGGCTACATGAGCTCCAAGACTAAATCCGATTATATGAATATTTACAGGATTTACACCCAATTTGATAACATCCAGTAATATCAATGCCAATTGACGACCAACTAGCTCAGTATTTGCTACAGCCGCTTGGTAAGTCGTACCTGCACCTCTGGTCCAATCCAATATTATCACATTAGCATCTTCCTTTTAGATTCAAAGGAAAATCTCGATCACTAGGTAATTATTTTTGGGACTAGACATTTATTTTGGTCAACAAATTTGTTTCGAAATATTTACCAAAGCTAGGAATGATCTTGCACCAAAAATTGCTCCTTCGTCATTTCCGCTGCCCTTGTAACCATGTACAATGACTTTCAGCTGTTTCTCAAAATCAAATTTTGATCCGATAATTGAACGGAAACTATCTCCGTATTCAATCACTTCCGGCATTTCTTTCCCAGTTCTAGTATACAACAAGAATCTCGTATTTATTACATTGGGGTGTTCGGGTGGACGTTTTAGTGATAAATGTTGCGGCGAATCAACGAAACAACCCACGAATTCTAGAGAAAATTTGGAAAATTATTTTTACAATACCTCTTCCTAAATTTGAGATCTACTCTATTGAAATCAAACAGACTTACCAAAACAAATTTTTGGTTTGAGGTTATCCCGGCTTAGACGATGCATCGTTCGTTTACGTCTTTGTACAATTCTCCCTAAACATATATTTCCATAAGAGTAAATGTCAATTAAAAATTATGGTTTTAATAACTAAAACAATGACTCACCCTGTCGCTGCGTATCGACCATCAAAGTTAGATACAAAATTCCCAAAAGAAATCCCAAGCTCCATTTCCATTTTGACCCGATCATTTCTTCGGTTAAAAAAATTGTTTAAAAATTTATCAAAAAATGATTAACACCTGTCATTATATGATTAAATAATTAAAAAAAAAAACCGATGCACTTTCATAGAACTCTCGCAGTACAGTAGAGAGACTGTCTATAAGTCTAAGGACTTCGATGCATATAATTGCAAAGTGCAACAAGAACCAAGTCGTGCAGCATATTGACGCAATGCATTTCCAAGCGAGTGCATACCGACGGTATTATTTTCATGAAAATTCTAATAATCATTCATAATTGCGTGATGACATAAAAATACCCCGACTATGCACTTCATAAAAAAACTAGAAAAATGTATCAAAAATTAATTAAAAACACTTTTCCTCAAATTTTCGCAATTCCTCAAAACAGACAAATCACTATCAAGTTATCCATCTCATATTTGATTTTAGGTACAGACGGCACACAAACGATACGATGTTATTTTGTCAGAGGATGCAATTGAACTTTCGCGCGACCCATTACGCCAGCAAAAAGACTTTCACTTGTAGCAGCAATTTTCGCAACAAGTCATTACACATATTATGCATATGTAGTTGCATATATTTACAGCGTACCGATATATGATGAACACTTAGCTACGTACCTGCCAACTGAACAGTAACCCAATTCTCTACGTGAGAGCAACATAAATATGTTCTACTAGACTCGTTGGCCCAGAATCTCATAAAGAAAAACCAGCCGACCTGAAACCAGTATTATTTCCCAAGAAACTTCTAGATCGATCGAAGTATCGATTAAACACTGGAAAAGGATACGAATGTGTGAAAAAAATATTAAATATATGAAAAAAACAAAATATTGTCAATTTAGACAATGGAATGAAATTTTTGGAAATTTTTGGATTCATGGACATTTTTGGTACAGGCTCATGTATATACATATATCGATATACTTATAACATATTTATTTGTAATATTTTCGTAATATACTCCTTATTATCGTAGACATATATTTATATGTTATGGCAGCATATTATTATTATGACATTGTATAATATAGGTGAGGTGACTGACAACACGTTTTCATTCGAATGAACTTTACGTTATTTACCTACAGGTAATTTCCATGTCGCACACATTTATATAATATATTTTTTGCTAATCGCTCAGCATCTCCCGAGCGATTTATTCGCTAACAATACAGAGCGCTCGTCGCCGATTGTATATCCATCGCGAGGGCGATCCACAATAATCAAGATCGCGATCGCGATATATCTATATAGTTTGCATGAGATCGGAAACGCTCGCCCAGTGTACGTCGGATTTCGCTAGACAATTTTTTTTTAATTCTTTCTCCCTTTTTTTCTCTCTCTCTCTCACTTTCACCCAACCTTTAATTTATTCAATAGTTAATGCATCCCTATTCTTAACGCCCACGAGATTCCGCTCTTACCGACCGCTACGCCGAACCATATAATATAATATCGTAATATTATTCATTTACTTTCCTATTAAAAATATTAATATATACTCTAATAACGATAATGCAACGTCATTAATTTATTATAGTTTGCAACTTAGAAAAATACTCCTGGCTCAACGTCACGGTCTCTCACGACACCCCATGTTTACCGCCCTTGTCACTCTCGACGGGAAAAAATACAAAACCGTTAATTCCGTCAGGCTTTAAAAATATTTTTGGACTTTTCATTTTCAATACTCGTACCGTTTGCTAATACCGTTTTGTTTAATTTTTGTTTAATTCTGACGTCATCAATTCTTCCATTGCATTCCAGAGACACCTATGGTAAGCAGGGTATTATAAGATTCATTATAAATTCGGGCAACAGTGACTCTATATATATGCTTTTTGTGCACTCTACGCTAACTCGAGTAGATTATAATAAATATAGCACCGTTCACAAAAGTCCAGTCAAGTTCCACAGGTTTTAACCACACGGAACATTAGTAATCTATAATAATTAGGGAACGTGGTTGTGACGTATTATAACGGAGTCGAGTCCCCGGAAGACAATGTAGAAATTACATGACGTCGAGACTTTCCTTATGACGTCACGCGAGTGTCAAACCGTAACAGGATAGATGAAAAGAAAAAAAAATGTCGGAAAATAAAAAATCCAAAAATATCAAGTGTCGTGTGAGACGATGACTCGGTTTAATAAAATCTATAAAAACAATCAACGAAACAACGGTAGTGCTAACCACGGATAAAATTTTCGGTTTACATACACGGTTTACTCGAAAGCCGTGAAAAAATGTATAATTCCCCCCCCCCCCCTT